TTTCGCGAGCAATATCTCCGTCGTTTTATCTTTGTTTACGCTGAGCTTTGAGTATGTTGTAGCTGAGACAATAAGCTATCACAATTGTGCCCTTTATTTTTCGATCAGATGCCGGGATCGTGCTCATATTTCACTTACAAAGTGGGATTTGAGAATTCAATTTTCAGTTTACGTGTAATCTCTATTAGAAATGTTTTGGTATATCGGTAACGCACTTGACTTCCGACCTCGAGGTCCCTGGTTCGAGTCCGGGCGTTTCCAACAATTTTTTTTCTTCACTTTTTTTCTTTTTGACCTTTCACTGTACCATCTCCTTTGAATATTAAAACACGTACAATCGCAAATAATGTAATAAACAACCATATTTACTTGATTATTACCCCATTATCACTTGATCCATTACTTTTTTGCGTGTGATCCTTATGGGAGATGACTTTTTCTCAAATCTGGATTCTACATTCTTGTCTTTTGCGAGCAATATCGCCATTATTTCTGCTTGGTTTTTGTTGATTTTTGAGTACGTTGTAGCTGAGACTATAATGTTATCTAAATGTCCCCTTATTTTATAAATCAGATGTCAGGATCATGCTCACGATCATGATCATGATCATCAATATCATCGTGATCATCATGGTTTGATGATGATCATGATCATCATCATCATGTTCATCATCATGATCATTGTTTACATGTCTATATAACTTCTCCCTTTCTCTATATAATAAATATTCAAATTTATTGAATATCTATTGGGTATTGAACGCAGCTAGACCACCTAATTCGTCCCCATGACGAATTAAATTTCTAGTTATTATTATTATTATTATTCTTTATTTTTATTTCTTCCCGTTTTTTGTGCCTAGGATAACTCACGTTCGGTTTCGTCAATTTCATTCAATTTTGGCACAGTCATTGGTCATTGTCATGAGACGTGACAGAAACATTTTCAAGGTCATCAGGTCATCGTAATGTCATCCAGGCGCCATTTTGTGAAATCCCATTATCTTACATATCTTCAAGATGCGTCATCAAAGGTCATTCATATTTATATCATATATACTTTAGGTTAAGGGTCAACAGGTCATGTCATCAAAGGTCACATAGAGGTCATGACGCGCGCGTACGCGTTCGTCAAAATTTTAAAATGCTCAAAATCACTTAACTATTAAACGAGAGTACGAATTAGGTCATTTAAAGCCTTTCAAAATTTTCCGTCCGTAAGTGTCCCCGCGCGCGTTGTGCGCGCTCGCAACGCGCGGAAAAGGTCAAATTCAAAATGTTTACATGATTTAGATTCCTCTTACCGTAAATGACAATTTACATTAATTTCAGTCACTCTTGACCTTTCATAAGGCTGTGAGCGTGCGTCAAAGTTCAAAATCCGCGCGTGCTGCTATGGGAAATATAATGCAAATTTGATCAAATACATGCCATTTTAAAAATCGAAATAGCTCTTCACATAGTCAATTGACCCCCAACTTTTATATCATGGTTGGAAAAAGCATGAGTTGGAAATATGATTTCATGTCTCATTTGACCCTCAATTAACTCATGACGTCATCAATATGGCCTCCGAACTCAAAATTTCAATTTGCATATTATGACGTCAGCAGATTTTTGGAAAATGTATTGTATCTCTGTGAATATCGAACGATTTACTTCCAAATTTTGATATGTTTTAGCTGAGACAATTCTCTACAAATGCAGTCGTCACAAATTTTCATTTTGACAAAAGCATCATGGCGTATGTTTGCAATTAAAGGAGGCATGTCAATTTTTCACATTTTGCGTGTATTCTCTATGGGACATGACTTTTTCTCAAAACTGGATTCTACATTCTCGTCTTTCGCGAGCAATATCTCCGTCGTTCTATCTTTGTTTACGCTGAGCTTTGAGTATGTTGTAGCTGAGACAATGAGCTATCACCAATGTGCCCTTTATTTTTCGATCAGATGCTGGGATCATGCTCATATTTCACTTACAAAGTGGGATTTGAGAATTTCATTTTCCGTTTACGTGTAATCTCTATGGGAAATGTTTTGGTATATCGGTAACGCACTTGACTTCCGACCTGAAGGTCCCTGGTTCGAGTCCGGGCGTCTCCAACAATTTTTTTTCTTCCCTTTTTTTTCTTTTTGACCTTTCACTGTACCATCTCCTTTGAATATTAAAACACGTAGAATCGCAAATAATGTACTGAACAACCATATTTACTTTATTATTACTCTATTATCACTTGATCCATTACTTTTGCGTGTAATCCTTATGGGAGATGACTTTTTCTCAAATCTGGATTCTACGTTCTTGTCTTTTGCGAGCAATATCGCCGTTATTTCAGCTTGACTTTTGTTGATTTTGAGAATGTTGTAGCTGAGACTATATACTATCTAAATGTTCTCTCATTTTTTTCAGTCTGATGTCATCATGGTCTGTTGATGATAATCATCAACATCATCATGATGATGATCATCATCATCGTCATCACCATTACAATCAAGATCATCATCATCATGATCATCATGATGATCATCATTGTTTACATGTCTATATGACTTCTCCCTTTTTCTATATAGTAAATATTCAAATTTATTGAACATATATTGGGTATTGAACACAGACCACCTAATTTGTCCCCATGACGAATTAAATTTCTAGTTTTAATCAATTACCGGTTTATGGGTATTATACATTCTAAAATAATTGTTATCAACCACTGTTCATGTAGAGGTGTTCGTGGTCTATTGGATAGGTCACTGCATGGACATGAACCATGAGGTATGGGGTTTGAATCCCTGCCATACATGAACGTAGCACTCATGTTGTTTGACATTAATCTACATTTGACATACTCGTCCTAGGTGAAGTTATATAAGTGAGTACCTGTTAGGATATATTTCTTGAATGCATCACTATGCAGTATGAAGTAAGAAAATGCACTACGGCTGTATAATGTGTCTATCCTCCTGTTGTTTAACGCATGCCCATCAACAATTTTTCTGTGCTTTCCATTCTGTACTAACCAAATTCTTAACTTGATCCCTGCACCAAAAAGTATTCCTATCACTAAACCCGAGCTCAAACCTATTTGCAGCCCTTATCCAAATCCTATATTTGACTATATAAAGCCCATTGCATTTGTCACCCATATATAGCCATACACATACATGTATATCAGAGCACCCAGTTAAATTTGCAGTAATTCAATGAAAACGTGTATTCTGGTAATGCACTTGTATGAATCACTGTTTGTATACATGTAGGTCAAAACTCTCTGGCTCATAGATGTTAGGTTTCCAACGTCAGCCTCTTTACATCACCTAGCAAAAGCTCTGTGTTCCATGCCACACCTGACTGACCTACAACTACATGGAAAGGATTTCCAGGAGGAGTTCTATTCTACACTGAATGCAAAAGCGTCAACCTTACAGGTATGTATGTGTGTTTGTACTCTTTATCCATGCCATGATGAATTCAGGTACACATGCAGCATTGGAGATGAGTTTAAGGAGTTTTTATGCCTCAGTTACAAAGTAGCCGGAGGCATTATGTTCTCGGGTTGTCCGTCCGTCCGTACGTCTGTACACACGTCTGTACGTACGTACGTCCCGTTCTCGTGATCACGTTATCTGAAGAACCGATTGATGGATTTCTGCCAAACTTTGGTCATGTATGTATCTTGCAGAGCCGATGAACTGATTAGATTGTGGGGTCACGAGGTCAAAGGTCACAGGGCTCATTATGTATGCAAAAACAGCTCGTGATCGCGTTATCTGAAGAACCGATTGATGGATTCCTGCCAAATTTGGTTATGTATGTTACTTGCAGAGCCGATGAACTGATTAGATTTTGGGGTCACAAGGTCAAAGGTCAAAGGCCACAGCGCACATTATGTATGCAAACACAGCTCGTGATCGCGTTATCTCAAGAACCGATCAATGGATTCCTGCCAAAATTAGGTAATGTATGTTACTTGCAGAGCCAATGAACCGATTAGATTTTGGGGTCACGAGGTCAAAGGTCAAAGGCCACAGCGCACATTATGTATACAAAAACAGCTTGTTATCGCGTTATCTCAAGAGCCGATTGATGGATTCCTGCCAAAATTAGGTCATGTATGTTACTTGCAGAGCCAATGAACTGAGTAGATTCTTGGTTTATAAGGTCAAAGGTCATGGGCTCATTATGTATGCAAAAATAGCTTGTGAACGCATTCTCATTAGAACTGACAGATGGATTACTATTTAACTCAGGACATCTTGCAGAGCCAATGAACTGAGTAGATTTTAGGGTCATGAGGTCAAAGATCAAAGGGTCATATATGTATATGAGAAATTGCTTGTAATCACAATATTCTGAGAACCTGTTAATGAATTACAATTGAACTTGAATTCGAAAAATTTCTTCTGTTTTGGTTTGTAACATTGCTCTATGACGGAGGCATCATTTTCGACTGCACGCAGTCGAATTCCATCTAGTTGTTTTTTTTTGGGGGGGGAGAGTGTTGTGTTACTAGTTACGCAATAATACAATTTCAGTATAAACAGATCACTGAAGTACTCTAAAGACTAATAGATACAAATAGTTCAAATCAATTCATAAGGTTTGAATAATGTCATCATGGGTCTGAGAGTATACGTCAGATTGAATAGTCACTAAACAAGGATGGAGATCTTGATCACAGTGTACTTATTTTAAGCACAGTTTTTGTTTTTGTTCTTGATGTTTTGGACATGTGCATGATCAGGGAGCATGGGGTGTCAGCATAAAGTGCTGTTGAAATATTGACCAGTTCAATCAACATAGATTTTTTGTATGTGTGTGTATTTGGTTGGGAGGGGCGGTGTATAGGAGGTGTCAGTGTAACAAGGACACTAAGTCTATATGCCAGAGAGAGTACTGACCTGGTATATACATGTATGGTATAGTATTTCAGCCAGACTTGAATGGAGGAAAACTACATGAATCACTTTCACCAAGCATGCCCATACATTTCTTTTCAGGATTCTTTTCCTCAAATCAGTAATGGAAATTTCATGTTCAATGGAGTTTCCCAAACAGATTTTGATTCATTCCTGCAGTCGCTCACTGGCTATCGACGGTAAGTGAACTAAACATAATGAATTACAAATTTATTTTATGGCTATACAACTTACTCCTAGATCATAATCAAATGTTAGGTCAAGCAGGGTCATGTGTGATTCCTTTACTGAGAATATTACATGTTTTTCCATGAAAAAGCATGCTATAGTTTCTGGTACTATTTAACGATCTTTAAGGATACGATCCACAGCAAGGCATGTAGAGTTTAATATGCTTTATATACTGTGTGTGGATTAATACATGTGTAACACTATGCATTGCATGCTTGTAGAGAGGTAAGTGCGCCTATCTCTGTGTGCGCGCTTCATTAAGCCTATCAAACCTGTGTTTATTTATTAGCGATAATTTCTAAGAACAATATTGAAAGTCTCTTTAAATCAAATAACAAGGATCTAGGATATTTTTTGTATAAAACAAATGATGGATTTTTTATTCGTTCATTACAGGATCTACATCTATCTGCTCTTGTTGAGGCCGCTTAAGCACCTACCCTATTCAGCCTAACGGCTGTGTATGCTAGATGTATACAGCCTCAACTCGTACGCTGATAAATGTTATAATGAACTCATTCGTATGCATCATTGTATATTATCATGCACAGATATCAGTTTTAAGTCTTACTTTCTATCAGGCACTTTTGCTTCATCTCCCTTCCTCTTCTCATTTTTCACAAGTCTCAATGGAATGCAAGGCCACCCAAAGTTATAGTGATGCAGCTAGCTGATGCAAAAATTCTGCTAACAATATATACAAGTGTCCACGATAAACATATGTTTAGTTTTCTTGGGTTGTATTCTGTGAACTATACTGTATGTTGTTTGCTATATTCAAATAGTGGAAATTATGTTAATTATCATAAATTGAAATTGTATGGAATGGGACTAATTGTAGGTGTTGGTGCAGATTTATCTCTAAACTGTACAAATACATAGCCAGCTTTACATAGAAATTCTCGCTATCGCCAATATGCCCAAAATGCACAGATGTAGCCTCTCTGAAGTAATTTTGAGCCAATGTACATAGGTACGTCTCTGAAAGCTTCATCTAGGTTCTTTATTTTTGGTGACGGCAGCAATGACAAACAAGAGAAAGATCCTCAAAATCTTATCGATGTCTAGATTAAAACAATGGAAGGACCTTCTTGAAACTTCAAGAAAATGACAGGCTTAACTTTAGAATATCCCACCAGAATGGAGTATGTCCATTGGTTGTCTAAAAAGCCAACGAACCCTGTAATGTAGTCACATCCTCTAATATTTCAGACAGGGTTTCACTCTTGCCAATGAACATAACCAACGAAAGGTGACGTTATTATTTCTATGCTTGTACTTGCTCTTTCCAATCACACCACCAAATATGTTAATTTTAGTATGTGTAAAATATTTTGATACGTTTTTACGTAATGATCCAGTCTTGAAATCTTTGAGAATCGTGATAACTCACGGTGAGTACTGTCAGAAAATAAAGTACATACACACACAATCACCCCTGGCGTGCACAGCACAGCTGTGCGAAATAGATGGGAAGTGACTTGGTCACCAAACTATCCCAGAGTGCATTTGAAACGAGGCCTGATGTAACGTGCTGGTATTTTTAATATGTTGCTGATATCAAGAATTAACCAAAGAAATTTCTTATATATCTTTGCTTTAAAGGGATCCGGTAACTTTGTCTCAGATTCTGAAACAAAATTCTGGATTTAGCTCATGATGCAATGATAATTATAAACCTTTAGGTCAGTCAGGAGCCCCATGACTTTTACAAGCCGATCGCCTGTCTGATTATCAAGATATTTATGATTGGAATTACAAATTTTGAAAACCGTTCGCCTGACGGTTTACATAACACTACAGTCTATTGGGGAAAACGAGTATGGTAAAACCGGTCACTCAAAGATTTTTACTTTTTTGAGGCACTTCTTGATCATTTTGAAGCGCAATTTTTTTAGGGCTTCAATATTACACCATATCACAGACACTGATAACACTTAGGGCCGTGTATCTCAGATTTAACATTTTTAAACGATCCCTTTAACAGGAATCATTTTTTTACTAGCATAACATGAATTTCAGAATACCACCTCATCAGGCCTCTGGTGCCTAGGCCCTGTAACATTGAAAGTTACCATTAATATTATCCCCAATCTTGTTTTTACATGTATCTCCTTCAATAAATTGGAACATAATAAATAATAGCAACTTACCATTACTTTTATGTTACAGGTTAATACAATGCTTAATAAGAAACAATTAATTGCAGCAAAACTGGAGATACAACAGATTTTTACTATTGATTGGATTGTTAGTCACTTCATATGTTACAGGGCCAAGATCCTATCACCCAAACCTATATTTCATCTTCTTTCCTCAACAATTCAGGAAGGATAGGGTTGACTCAGACCTGAGAGACATGTTAAAATCGCCTCTTAGATGGTGAATGACCTATGATGCACATCACAGCAATCAGAATACCTTCGAGAGCCACATAATGGCAGTGTACAACCATCCAGATCGCATAGCTGGATTATGTGCTGCTCGATCGTATAGAACTATCTCCAAGAAGGTTGTACGACACTTGCTACTGTGACAGTTGTTCCGCATTGGTTTCCTACACTAACCAAAATACCAACTTCAACCTCGGACTTAAACATATTACTGTAAAGATAAATTTATAATATAACACTAGTAATGAAACAGCAAATTCAATGTACTTTATATATTACAACATAGCAACTTTATATTCATACACATTAAATATATCATATTACGTGTACCTAACCGTAAACATTATTACCTGAACTCTTAATAGAGTGAAACCCTAACCCTATATATTTCATGAGGTTATAGCCTGGATCATAGGATCAAATGTTCACCCTCCATGGCAACTTTTGTGACAAGCATTTTTTTCCCCCTCATCCACAGGATTCCTTTATTAGACAACAGCATACATTCATGTAAAAATACGCAACATATACATCTACAATCATGCAAAATTCAATATTTACATCACTTGGTCAAACTAAAATTTATTTTACAAAATTTTACCGAAGCTAAAATCAATCATATACCGCATTCAAATTGTTTTATAGGACAGACGATGACTTCAAACGTAAACACAATCGAACAAATTTGATGAAATAAAACCACTTTTTCATGAATTTCTTTTCTCTTAGATTTGTTTTAGCAATACATTTGTCAATTTCATGATAAAAGGTTATAGCTGACATAATATTGTCAAAAACGTAAATCTTTGTTCGACTGGACTGCATTAAAAACAATTCTTTTCTTACCACCGTGACAAGCAGTTGTGTTACTTAATATCCCAAGGTGTAACGCCCGATTGTTAGCAATTCAGAAAAAAATAGCTGTGAAGGATGACTGACTGAAATCTTTTATTTGTATCTGCACTCATAATAGTAAGTTGCAAAATGAACACAAAGCCAGAATCAGAAATTTGAAATCTGGGCCCTGTTTCATGAAACTTATTTTCAATAACAAGTTGCAATAACTGTTATAAGCTCCTGAAATGGTTTTATTTGATTGGCTTAGAGCCAATTTGTCATAGAAATGTGACACTTGTTATTGATAGAAAGTTTTATGAAACAGGGACGAGAGTTTCTTTGAGCCAGTTTGTCTGGAAATGGGATGCCGTTATGAGGGCCCTCTTGCCTTTAAAAGTTGCAATGTCAAACACAACTCAAAGTGTAGTAATTTCCACTTTTTATGGAAGAGCCCCCAGAATGAATATTGACTATGAGATTGATTTGTATTGTGATTTTAATTTTATTAAGTATTTACATTACCATGTTGAACTCAATTGTATGCATTCTCTTCAGGTTCAATCAAGTTGAGAATACACAATTGGCCCCCGAAAGTTTACATGTACCTGGAAGAATCTCATTTTACTCGAATTTTCTCCACTGCACCCATTCCTATCAGGAATCACTCGTCTCAGAGTGATTGGTGATGTATATACTATATATATTAAACAGAGACCATATTTGTCTATCTTCCTGAAGTGAAAAGTTGGCAGAAATGAGTGAAGTTGTGATCATGTGTATCAGGCCCAACTCTACATGTATGTACATCTACAATTCTGTGATTATTCCAGTTCTTGATAATGTTTTTCTTTGTCTTCTTCCATTTTTAACAATCAGTAGATGTGTACCAAGTTGTGTGTGCCGTATGCTTTGTGTATACTATAAACAGAGTTAGAATTTGTCTATCTTCTTGAAGTGAAAAGTTGGCAGGAATGAGCGAAACTGTAATACTGTATATCTGGCCCAACTCTACAATTCAGGAATTATTCCAGTACTTGACAATGTTTTTGTTTTCTTCTTCATCAGTATACGTGTACCAAGTTTGTGTGCCTTATGCTTTGTATATATGCTATAAACAGAGACCAAATTTGTCTTCTTCCTAAAGTGAAACGTTGGCAGGAATGAGTGAAGTTGTGATAATGTATATCTGGCCCAACTCTTCATGTATGTACATCTACAATTCAGGGATTATTCCAGGACTTAATAGTATTTTTTTTTAAATCTTCCATTTCAACTATCAGGCCTCTGAGTAGATGTGTACCAAGTTTTGTGTGCCTTATGCTGAAAAGCCTGCATGTATAAGCAAAGTGGTCATGTGATTATGCGATGAAAAATTTGTCTGATAAATCTAAGAAGGCTACATTTATGTTCAGAAATACTCTTAGGAGTGACCGGATGTTACTAACTTCTCATATAAAGTTATTTGATGCATGTATTAAACCTATTTCAATGTATAATCCAGAGGTTTGGATATTTGATATTTTAGGTGTAGGTAGGAATCACATTGAGAAACAATACCTTTCATTAATACCGGAAAAAGTTCATATTAAATATTTGAAATATATATTAGGAGTAAATAGTGCAGCAGTAAATAGTACCGTTAAAGCCGAGCTAGGACGATTTCCACTACTCTTTGGATTAAAAGCCACAATTGGATTCTGGCTACACACCCAAACAACAATTTTCTGAAAAAACTAAGCTTATTTAGAAAACATGGGTTTAAAAATGGTTATTGCTGAAAAACCAATTTAGGATTTGGTCATGTATGGAATAATCAAAGTACCTTTTCCTAAAAGAAGTCTTCTTAGAGTAATATTTAAAAAATTGGAAGAATGATATATTCAGTTATAGAAGGATACACTAAATAAAAACATTAATGTTTTTTGTTGTTAGCTGAGAACTTACAGGTATGTTAGGTATATACTTGAAAATTATTTATTGTTAGATATAGATCAATCCCATGTATTAAATTATTCAAAAATATGATAGAAATGGGACAACATCGGCTATTGGTAGAAACTTAGTGTCATTTCGTTAATATGAACTGTCAAAGTTCTAAATAACCAGATAACTGATTTGTTTGACAGCATTATATTAATATAGTTCTGTCATTTAAAAAATTGAATTTGGAAGAGAAATTTCATTTTGTTCTCCAAAGTAGTGACTATGACATGAGTAGTATCTGTGTACTAAGTATAAGTCAAATGTATATAGAAAGAGAGAAATTACTTCATAAGACTCAGCGATGTATATGTTTATATTGTTATTTTAATACAATGTGTCAATACTATGTTATATTTGTTCTTTTTTTTAAGATGGAAAATAAATTGAATTGAAATTGAATTGATGTACTTTAGATAACCTTTAAAACACCTACTCTGACCTAATGGATGTATTGTGTACCAATGTATGACCTTTTTTCCTAATGAATTATTGTTCGTGTCTGATGATAATCAGACCTTGTGGATATGTATCAATAAACTTGAAACTTGAAATTTGAAACTTGTGATTTGATATTAGCCTTGATGCCAAGAGCTACTTGTATTTGAGGAAAATATGCATTGAAATCCTGAAATTGGTGACATGTTGAAATTTCGAAATCACCATTTTTAAATACAAACTGGCATACCACTGATACCAGTGTGTGATTACTGTATGACTTACTTTATAGCAGTGTAAGGTACTTGATTTTTATTCGAAGAAATGTAGCAATGAAAGAATGTTTCCAACTTCAAGAAGAAAATCTGATCACTGTAGTCAATGATCTTACAGTTTGTAAGTTTACAGCCTTGTATTTATATGATATGCGAATAATATCAAATTAACTGAAATTTAAATTTAATTACATCTGAAAGATGTTCATATAACAATCATGTTTGTGCATACTATGTTTATGTGTACAGAGTAGGTGCCAAAGATTAAAGTGTTTTTTGTATTTCTTATTCCGAGTCTGAATTCATGATTTATGTGTACGGTTTGAATCCAGAAAGAGAGGAAGAGATGAGAGTGACGATAGAGGCAGGATGGAGAAGAGATGGAGGGTGCATGGGAGCGGAGATGGAAGCAGGAAAGGGAGAAGAGACGGAGGGTGGGGAGGATCAAGGGAGGAAGGAAGAGAGAACTTAGGGTGCATGGGAGTGGAGGATAAAGGGAGGGGAGGGAGAGAAAGATATGAGGGTGCATGGGAGCGGAGATGGAAGCAGGAAAGGGAGAAGAGACGGAGGAAGGGAGAGAGATGAGGGGTGCATGGGAGTGAAGATGGAGGTAGGATGGAGAAGAAAGAGCATGAGGGAGAAGAGACGGAGGGAGGGGAGGATCAAGGGAGGGAGAGAGTGAGGGTGCATGGGAGTGACGATGGAGGCAGGATGGAGAAGAGATGGAGGGAGGGGAGGATCAAGGGAGGAAAAGAGTGAGGGTGCATGGGAGCGGAGATGGAAGCAGGAAAGGGAGAATAGACGGAGGAAGGGAGAGAGATGAGGGGTGCATGGGAGTGAAGATGGAGGTAGGATAGAGAAGAAAGAGCATGGTGGAGGAAAGGGAGAGGAGACGGAGGGTGCATGGGGGTGGAGGATAAAGGGAGGGAAGAAATTGAAGAAAGGGAGAGAGAGATGAGGGTGCATGGAAGTGGAGGATAAAGGGAGGGAAGAGATGGGGTGCATGGGAGTGGAGGATAAAGGGAGGGAAGAGAGTGAAGAAAGGGAGAGAGAGATGAGGGTGCATGGGAGTGGAGGATAAAGGGAGGGAAGAGAGTGAAGAAAGGGAGAAGAGAGTTGAGGGTGCATGGGAGTGGAGGATAGAGGGAGGGAAGAGAGTGAAGAAAGGGAGAGAGAGATGAGGGTGTATGGGAGTGGAGGATAAAGGGAGGGAAGAGAGTGAAGAAAGGGAGAAGAGAGTTGAGGGTGCATGGGAGTGGAGGATAGAGGGAGGGAAGAGAGTGAAGAAAGGGAGAGAGAGATGAGGGTGTATGGGAGTGGAGGATAAAGGGAGGGAAGAGAGTGAAGAAAGGGAGAAGAGAGTTGAGGGTGCATGGGAGTGGAGGATAGAGGGAGGGAAGGGAGAGAGAGATGAGGGTGCATGGGAGTGGAGATGGAGGTAGGAAAGAGAAGAAAGAGCATGATGGAGGAAAGGGAGAAGAGACGGAGGGTAGGGAGAGAGAGATGAGGGTGCATGGGAGTGGAGACGGAGAGAGAAAGTTGAGGGTGCATGGGAATGAAGGAGGGAAGGGAGAGAGAGATGAGGGTGCATGGGAGTGGAGATGGAGGCAGGGAAGAGAAGAAAGAGCATGATGGAGGAAAGGGAGAAGAGACGGAGGGTAGGGAGAGAGAAAGTTGAGGGTGCATGGGAGTGGAGACGGAGAGAGAAAGTTGAGGGTGCATGGGAATGAAGGATAGAAGGAGGGAAGGGAGAGAGAGATGAGGTAGGGTGTGAGTGGGGGGTGTGTAGTGAAAGAAGGGGGGGGGGGGTAACGGTCCACAGTGAGCAAAATAATAGAAAGGAGAATGTACAGCATTATGACAGATTGGATGTAGAGCTGGGTGGCCAATATGTACTACTATTTGGGAGGAAGGAGAGAAAGCATTTGAGAGGGGGCTTTAATTTAGAGGTGTGGGTAGCTAAATGGAAAAGGGTACAAGCTTAATTGAAAGGGAGATTTAGAGCATGTGAGAGGTAGAGATATAGATCAAGATGGATAGAGATGGATAACCAAACCGGGAAAGAAACGTGAGAAATAGAGCAAGCAAGAAAGGAGAGAAAGGAAAGATTTAGAGTATGTTAGAGGGCTTTCTTTTAGGGGGGTATGTACATTCAGTGGTAGTGAAGTGGAAGTTATGACGTAGCAAAGAGCGGGTATTTTTTTGTATGACGTTGAGTATAATACGCATCACATTTCTGTACCTTTTAATACAAAGAGAGATCAGTGAACGTCCCCAAGATCTTATGTTGCAAAGAAAAACCTTTCTTTCTTGACATCCACTGTTTTTTATGATCTTTAGCAATCAAGGTAAAACGTATAAATTTGCACTGATATCAAATTCCAACGAGAGAAAAAATATTGAATGGCCATTGTTAAATAGTATGCTCTTATTTAAACTTAACATGACTCATTTGAAGAGCTTGTTGCATGAATAACGAATTTGAAAGAACGAAATTAAATGCGAATCACAATTTGGGGTGGCGATCACAACTATTAGGGGAAGTTAAATGCTCTTAACATTAAACCGAATAATCAAAAAGCAAGATTGAGTAGGAAACCTAGATGAACAGAAATACCTATTTGGGAGTTTGCAGCATATTTCAATATACGTGTATATGCAATGGTCGGATCAGGGACTTGTTAGTTGACACGCAGGGGTTGGGGGTGTTGGGGGTTAAATCACAGAGTACCATACACGATGAAGATTTTTTTTTCTTTCTTAATTGTAATGCCTATATTATACCAATTATTAATACTGATATTTTAACTTGTTAATGATTATGAATAATTATAGTAAAGATAAGTATAGCCACTGTAACAGGGATACGAACAATAAACATTAAGAGTCAGTTTCTGTTTACAGGTTAAATACGCAGTAATAATATCAAATCGCGATTTTCCTTTATCATAATCTGTATTAAGAGGGGCTTTCAGACAATGTATCAGAGCCCAGCCATTTCTCTGTAGACGAGTCACTGAAGGCGGTCTTGTGGTTGAGGGTGTCATCCCCTAGAAGATTCTTGGCGGCGATGCCTTCGCGCTGGACATCATCCTCGGTTTGGAATCGTTCAGCATCCTTCATCATGCGTTCGATGTCGTCTTTGAACAGTCTCTTATCATGATAGATAGTGATCCCGTTGGTGTGGCCCGTCATCAAATCCTTAGCAGTGTCGGTCAATATGTCATTGGCGTCAATGTCGAAAGTAACTTCGATCTTAGGGACGCCATGCGGAGCAGGAGGTATCCCGGACAACTCAAATTGGCCGAGGCGATTGTTGTCCTTGACCATAGCCCTCTCTCCTTCAAACACCTGTATAGAGACGCCCGGTTGGTTGTCCGAGTAGGTAGTGAATCTGTGGGATGCTCTGGTTGGCACCATGGTGTTCCTATCAATGATACTTGTCATCGAGCCAGCCGCCGTCTCGATACCAAGAGACAGAGGAGCAACATGGAAACAGACAATATCTTTGATCTTGTGCACATTGGCTGCGTACAACGCGGCTCCGTGGGCTACAACTTCTTTAGGGTTTATGGACATGTTGAGTTCCTTTCCGTCCAGGAATTCTTGAAGAAGCTTCTGGATCTTTGGGATTCGTGTCGATCCGCCAACAAGGATTACTGTATCTATCCTCTTCTTATCAATCTTTGCATTCAGCAGTACTCTTTCTACCGGTTGCAAACACTTTTGAAAGAGATCTGAACACAGCTCCTCGAATTTTGTTCTGCTAATGCTAGTGTAAAAGTTAAGGCCTTCGAAAAGATAGTCAACTTCGATACAGCAATGAGTGGTGCTTGATGCACGTTCCACTGCTTTACGAAGGCGGTGTAGTGCTATGCAGTTAATCATCAAGTCTGTCTTGTTCCTGCTCTTGAATTTCTCAACGAGATGGCTGACGAGTCTGCTATCGAAGTCCTCTCCGCCGAAATGTGCGTCTCCAGCCGTCGTCAGTACCTCGAATATCCCATCTTCAATGACAAGGAGTGAGACGTCGAGTTCACTTCTATCGAGATCGAAAACAAGAACATGCAGTTCACGACCGTCAGACTTCTCATCGAGACCGTAGGCGAGGGCGGCAGCGGTGGGCTCGTTGATGATCCTGAGGACGTTAAGGCCAGCGATCACCCTTGCCTCCTTGGTCGCCTGTCGCTGGGCATCGTTGAAATAAGTAGGAACAGTTATGACGGCATCGGTGACCTTCTCGCCAAGGTAAGCTTCTGCTGTCTCCTTCAGCTTTGTCAGAACCATGGAGCTGACCTCTTCTGGAGACAGTGTCTTGGTTTCGCCAATGTGCTCTACCTGCAGCATCGGCTTGCCGTCCGTGTTGATGACGGTGAAGGGCCAGTGTTTCATGCCTGACTGTACAACCTCGTCATTGAACTGTCGCCCAATCAGACGCTTGGCATCGAAGATTGTACTCTTGGGATTCCTGAACAGATAGAGAAACAGGAAAATAGAATCACCTATCACATAGGCGGCTGGGCCTAACATACCATGTTCTGGTATTACTTTGGGCATATCACAATGTTTGTTAATAAGAAAACAATGGGCTTCTTCTACGATTTAGGGGTGCTCCCCAAGGACTGCCAGGAAGAGAAAGGGTTGGCGAAAATATCCCGATATTTATCGCAGAGAAGATATTTTAGGACCCCAAACCCGCACTCTTCATGTTGATGGTGGGGGTAGGGGGATAGGGGTATATAGGTTGATCTGCGACAGGAACAAATTGTGGGGGAGGGGGAACTCCACCGGACCTCCTAAACTCGCTCATAGAGTTTGGGGTGGGAAAAATAATTATCATCCTGACATAGTTATCTCCCAGTTCGCTAAGTTGAGGAGGGGTAACAATGTCGGATTATAAATACTCGGTTCTCTCTCTCTCTCTCTAACCTCCTTCGGGGGTTCGCGACCGTCTGGATCCTGGATCTCCCTATGAAGACAAGTTTATATTCATATGCTTCTTTCGTGGAACTATAGGGACTTTTAGATTTGCACGACGAGAACGTGGACTGCTATATACATGTGACATCCTTTTAAGGCAATGTGACGTCCTTTAAAAGCACTGGCAGAGCCCGGCAGTCAGTGTTTATTACGTCACATGTCTCTTAAAGGTACTATGTCCCATCTGCAGGCCCAAAAAATGAAAAGGTTTAATTCCAACGGCATTTGAGAGATAATACTAATTGAGAACTTCCCTAAAAATGGGGGGGGGGGGGGGGGTGGGGCTTGAAAATGTCTTTAAGTGGGAAAATAACGACTATTATTAGTTTTCTAATCGACTTAGGAGCTATAGAGCCAGTAAGTAATCGTCTGATTTTTCAGACCATTGTACCGAATGGTCGTATGTTTATGCTGCGCAAAGATTCAATCAGTTTTATTTTGGCCACTACAAGAAGTGGGTTATTGATGTAGATAAATGCTCATGTACCCTTTGCAGCTCATTTTATGTACGTTATTACCAAAGATGAAAAAGGCCAGTCAGTCACTCAATAGTGTCTGACAGTGAAGTCTAGAAAGTAAACGGGCTTCCTTGCATAATTTGAATATTAGGACACTGCTATCGTTTCAATTTCACAGATAGGACATAAATGACATAATTTTATTCATAATTCCTGCAAAGTTATACAGAATTTGATGTTGGCTGCAAAAGGGACATAGTATCTTTAAAAGGATGTCACATGTAGCAGTCCATGTTCTCGTCGTGCAAATCTAAAAATCCATAATGTCACACTTCATGAAACATGCACTAAATCTCAAATCACTTACTCTGACATCTGATCCTTGGCCTCCTCTCCAATCAGTATCTCCCTGTCTGTGAAAGCAACGCAACTGGGTGTGGCGCGGTTTGCGCATATTTTTTTTACACAACTGTTTAACCATTTTCGCGAAAAAAATCCAAGAAGTGCTCTGGTGAAAGAGTCTAAGTCGTCAGCGCACTTACAAGCACGTACACCCAGGGAAGGGAAGATGATAGAAAGGGGAAAACAAGGATAGTGGATAGGATATGGAGAAGGGGAAAAAAGGAAATACATAAGGAAAGAGAAGAGGATAAGTCAAAGGAAGAACATAGAAATACATAATTGAAGAACTAAGAGGATCATAGATCTAGACTATATGGAAAAACAGGGAAATACATAAAGAAGGAGAAACTTAATCACATTAAAACACAGAAATAGATGATCGACGAAGGAGAAGAGGATAGATTGAAGGAAAAACAAAGAAATACATAAAACAAAAGAGAAGAGGTTAGAATGAAGGCGAACAAAAGAAATACATAACGAAGGAGAACTGGGGGATATAGATTGAAGGAAAAACAAATATAACGAAGGAGAAAAAGGATAGATTGAAGGGGAAAAAATAAATACATGACAAAAGAGAAGAGGATAGATTGAAGGAGAACACAGAAATACATAATGAAAGAGAAGAGAGGATAGATTTAACCCGAAACAAATAACGAGTAAAACTATGTAGATCCTATACACATGTACAGCTCCAGCAATTATCCAACAAAATTGCGAAGGGTAATGCTAGACTCTGTCTCTAGTCGTTTGCACAGTATATTTGACTGAAGTGGCTAAACAGTTGTGTAAAAAAAATATGCGCGTCCGGTTTCCATAGTCATTGGGAATGATCTCCACCGTCCCATTCTGGAAGACTCCTACACAGGAACACGATGTACCCAAATCAATCCCAATCACTGGTGATTTTCCTGAAGCCATTGTATTTTATTTTATTTTATCTCGAGCTGCCTGGTACCTCAAATATCAACTTTGAGGATGTCCAAAATAAGCGCTACCTGCCGCAATAAATTCGGAAGTGTCTTGATGTATGGGTTATAAATTCCATAATATATTTCTACTTGGTGATAATTTGCAGAATCGTTTGCTCTGAATAATTTGATAATCGAAGCTTCAAGTAAATTCTGACAAAGCGACGATTTTTTTTTTTTAATGGCAAATGTTCGTCATCTATTTGTCTGCAGCTCTTCTTTCGTATGACGTTGTGCACATTAACTGACAAATCGACGTTTATATCAACTTGTAATGAAATGTTCTTCCAATTCTAGAAGAGTATAGTCTTCATGTTTAACCAATGTGTTCTGCGCCCGAAAGTTACTGACAAAATGAACAGCGTTTATAATTTTATGTGATAATAGCAAGCTTAATATGCCTATATGATTATTGTCCCTTGGCTAAACTACATGTAGTAATTGTAGTGTAAAAGAAGACGGTGTGTTATACTGGTCTATGATTGAATTTATCCCGATATATCATTTTTTGTTTGAGCGGATTTCCGATCGTGTGATTGTTTTTTTCTCATTGTAAACGTAGCACTTCCGATATGCTGGAATATTCTCGATTGAGACAGGAAAAAATAAAAACAGTTAGGATGTTCGAATTTCTGTGATATAGAGCGTAAAGTATATAGACGGTATAGCACCTGGCAGTGCCCAAACCCCAGCCTCGGGGGCATTGTTGCGGAGGGAATAAGGGGGGGGGGGGGGAGAAAGAGAAAAACACTGCATGGTATATCAAACAACCCTCGAAATCAACAACAGTAAACTAAATACTATTTAAACCCAAAAGGTGTTGAACATCATCCGCATTACACAAAAGGTACTTTCTCAAGAAGGTAGTATAATCAAATTGTAAACTCGTGAGCTGCCCCTACCAGTGTATTCTGTTTTCTCTCCTCACTTTTGTAAAGTCCGTAAAGGTTAATTCAATTAATAATCGTGAGAATGCAGGGTTAAACATTCTTAAACATGCCTTTCAGGAAGTATTTTGGCCATCAATTCTGCCAGCAGAAAGATAGACGGACTGAATTGTATTCCTACTAAAAGTTTTTAATACGATCGCAAAAGACTTATGAACAAATTTATTAGCTTTGGCCATCACGTAATGACATATTTTTGTTTTTAAGATTAATTTTTAATTCTTCCATTTTAAGATAACGTAACAAAGCAAAATATAATAACATGAAAAATTAACATAACATTACATAAAATTCACAATTAGAAATGGAAGTTTATAGATTTTTAAGAAATAGAAAGAAACTGGGAAAACCTCCTCCCTGCACCCCCCCCCCCCCCTCATGCCCTCATGCCGCTAACGAACCATGTACTGTTATTATATACTGAGAACTAGTGGCGTAGCGTGGGCTCAGTCATGGGGGGGGGGGGGCAGTCTTTAGTCTACGAGATCAGTGGGTTTTAAACAATTTTTTTGTCACAGCACCCTTTTAAGAATTAAAAATAGCTTTTCGTCATCCCGATCCCAAACCCATCACATGCAGTTCTTTTTTCACATTTCTCTGGCACTCGTCATTTTGCCATATGCACGCGTACGGGCATATTTTATTCTAAACTTTGCGAGCGAGCGAGCAAAGAAAATGATGATTTTTAAAAATGGTAAATAATTATGTTGTAATCAACACACTAGATAAGACATATGATAGTGTATGCGGGCACCTCGCCGAGGAATATACGTGAATACAAAAACTCATATATTCGGTCCCCTCGATACATGAATATGAGGATATTCGGCCATCTCATTGCCTAGAATTATCCTGATGCTAAACGTTGCAAGCGAGTAAAGCGAATAAGCGTGGGAAACGTAATTTCGGTAGGAAAAATAAAAGATATATTTGGGTACCTCGCTGTCAAATAGAAGGACATTCGGGCTCAGACCTCGTTGCCCACATGTCGAGATGTATAGGCACTTGGCTGCCTTAAATCATCCTGTTTCTAAACTTTGCGAGCGAGCGAAGGGAGTGAGGAAGAAAGACTCTTTATCTTCTTCAAAATGCTACTTCCCAGTGAAATTACAAACTGTAGATGTTTCTAATCTTCGGCTTTCATGAAACCGACGTTATTCCATCAACATTAATTTAATAAAATATATAGATATATAACCAAATTTCTCTAGTGGCACCCCTAAATGTCTTGCGCAACCTGGTTGAAATACGCTGTACTACTCTCTAAAAAAAATCGAGTGATCACGGACGTCACTCCTCTGGAGAGTGAAAATGTAGTGAAAATAGAGTGAACATTCACTCTTTTCTTCTTAGAGAGCACTCTAAAATCAATCGATTTTCACTCCTAAACAAGTGATCACGGACGTCACTCCCAAGAAAGTGAAAATAGAGTGAAAATTCACTCTTTTTTTTAAAGAGAGTAGATGGTCAAAGTTAGGGGGCAGATTGACCAGGCCGTGGGGGGGGGGGGGGGATATACTCCTTGCCCCTTTAGAGTGGAAAATTATGCGTTTTAAAAAGTACAAGTACATACTCTCTTTGTCTCTTTTCCTGTCTGCTTCTATCATTCACTCTAATCTCCATTTCGTTTTCTTCTCTGCTGTACACTTCATCAAGGATACAGATCTGAACATTCAAAAACATTTTTCGATAATTTGACTAAAAATTGGTAATACCGGGGAGATGTTAGTTTTTACAGATAAAACCTACTCTCAAAAAAAAAATCATTATATATATATATATAATATACCAATGCCAGTACTATAACATAAAGAAATGCACTTATGCAAAGAGTTCAATGAGAATCCCTATAAGGTAGCCTACTCTAAATGAGTAATAGAGATAGCCTACCCCCAAAAGGAGGAAAACAATTTGTCATTGACTGGAGAAGCAGGATAGGGGGACCTTTGCACCGTACCACACAATTCCTATTTAATTAACAACATTTTATACCATTCCAATTTACAACATGATGAAGAATATAATAACAAGGAAAGATTGCACATAAAAAACTGGCAGTCCAGATGTGAAGAAAATGATTAAGATTGTGGCCAATGACCGTAACTCGCAGACACTCGATTACAACTTACAAAATTTGTTCTCATTCAGCTATTCAATCCCTTTTAGCTATAACCGCATATTGGCATGGCGAATTCAGCCATATGTCACAAAAACTGAAAATATCCAAGGTTTGAATAGAAAGGAGAAAGTAATAATACATCAGTTGAAGCTAGGGAAATGCAAATTAAATTATTATCAGCACATTATTAATCAACATGAAGATGGACTATGTCCATTGTAAGGTTTCAGAAGCTATAGAGCATTTTTTACTACAATGCAATAAATATAAAAGAGAAAGAAGAATAATGCAAAGACGATTGAAATGTGTAACGTTAGATTGACTACACAATTATTTGGGAATTTATCGGATTTTAGAGTCCTCTTAGATTATATTAAAGCTACAAACAGATTAGAAATGTTTGTATAGATCTAGTGCGTTTTCCTCTGTGAGATTATGATTATGATTGAAATGTTTGAATATTATCAGTATTAAAATCATAGGGATGACATCCTAATGATTAAAATGCACGACTAATGGTGAAGAGAAATTAAATCTAATTAATCTTTCACAGTAGCACTTCGCTGAGACAGGTGAGCCAACTCTTAACTCCAAAACAGAAGTCTGGAAAGACAGAGCCCCATCAGTTAGTGAGCCATGAGATCAAGCTTGAAAAGATGAACATGCATGCAGCAAAGAAGGAACGCCGTGGCGCAGATAATCTGTCAAGATTGAAGAGCGCCATCTAAACGCCAATAACAACAACAACCATACAATTTTAGGGGATTCCCTATGAGGTAATTATAAGAGCGCGCGCGCCCGCCCGCGAATTTTTTTTCCGTACTCGAGAGGGCAAATACCCCATGTGCGCATGCGCGTGGACTTGTGATTTCTCTGCTACTTCCCATACGAAATGTACATGTATTCGCATCTACTGTGCACGATTCGCGTTCTACGAGTAAACGATGGCATAGTAGTCTTCAAACACAGACTCTGATTTGCCAGTTTGACAAATCAATATGCGTATGTGTCGCGATGTGCTTATTCAAGTCTGTGTAGTTGTATGATTCAGACCCAGTAGTGCATATGGAAATACATTGCAACTTGTATAGAATGGTATAGTAGTCTGCAAGCACAGACGCTAATCTGACAGTTTGACAACATACTAGTAGTGTGCTGAGAAGTACTTTATTCAAGTCGCCAACTTGTATAGAATGGTATAGTAGTCTGCAAGCACAGACGCTAATCTGACAGTTTGACAACATACTAGTAGTGTGCTGAGAAGTACTTTATTCAAGTCTGCGTAGATGTATGATTCAGACCCTACTGATTCAGACCCTACTAGAAAACTACGAAAACTTGAATAAAAGCACTACTCAATACACAATAGGCCTATATTATTCTGTCAAACTGTCAAAGGAGAGTCTGTGCTTGCATACTACTATGCCACTCTATAAGTTGAGGTGCATTTCCAATACACGCACCAGTAGGGTCTGAATCATAAAACTACTCAGACTTGAATAACACTATTTTGTCAAACTGTCAGATTAGCGTCTGTGCTTGCAGACTACTATGCCACTCTGCAAGTTGAGATGCCTTTCCAATACACGCACCAGTAGGGTCTGAATCATAAAACTACACATATTTGAATATAAAGCACTACTCAAGACACTATGTTGTCAAACTGTCCGATTAGCGTCTGTGCTTGCAGACTACTATACCATGCTATTCAATTTGGGATGCATTTCTGTAAGCACTAAAATGTCTGAATCATACAACTACTCAGACTTGAATACTAGTACTATTGCTACGCACGATATATGCGTAATTGTTTGTCAAACTGGCAAATCAGAGTCTGTGTTTGAAGACTACTATGCCATCGTTTACTCGTAGAACGCGAATCGTGCACAGTAGATGCGAATACATGTACATTTCGTATGGGAAGTAGCAGAGAAATCACAAGTCCACGCGCATGCGCACATGGGGTATTTGCCCTCTCGAGTACGGAAAAAAAATTCGCCGCCCGCCCGCACGATATAGGGCGTGGCCGTGGCCGACAAATACAGTAGATCTAGAGTCTAGTGGCATTACGGTGCGTAACGATCCCGATGTCGCAGTTATTGCGTCGTATTTTCAGCTAATTTCTAACTATTGACGTAGAATCTTGATTGTCATCATCCAAGCTGGCAAGGCTGCAGACAGAAATGACACTTGTGTGAATAGGAAACCACCATTCGCTCCGATCCGCACAGTACAATTTCGTTCTTCCCACTGCACCGGCCACCATGCCACCCCTCAGACGCTAGCCTAGTACTAGTAGCGCTAAACAAGCTTGTGTATGCGGATATCGGATGAACGAGTGGTTTCCAAAACCCCGATATAGCCACAGAAAATAACCATTTGGTAAGTATATGGGGATATCTTTCTAATATAACTTACATTTGTCAACCTTTTATAGGGCAATTTGCTCTTTATTGTTGACCCATTCTCGTACAGTGTAATTTGTTTTGTGTATTTTATTTTACGTTTACCCGAGCTGAGAGTGCAAGAATGCTGTTGATCTCACACAATGACACATATCTGTATTACTATCCTGGCTGTGTATTAAAAGCTGTTTTATTGATTCTCAACATTTTAAACACCACTGTACATAACTCAACTGATTTCACTCAAAATCGGTACTTTAGTCAGTGACAATTGATGACACCTAATTAGCAGTAAAAATATTATTTTTTCAACTTACCGATGTTAAAAAAAATACCCGGTAGTTTAAAAATAAAGTTGTAAGTCTAGGGTCAAATTTGCCAATCAGCCACATCGGTTTTAGTGTGTAGCCTACATTGGTATGCAATAGAGTGTGGTGTGTGCCATGTGTGTGTTATATATACCTGCCTCTCAGCAAGTATGCAGTGCTAGAGGTCAATACGCATTAGCATTGACTCTGTGTAGTGGTTGAGCTGAGTGTAGTCGAGCTTGGAGTTCAGACTTTTTAATTCATCCTCATATCTTTCTACAGGCATTGTTGTTGTTTTTTGGTATTATCAGCATTTCATTTCATTTACGCCTTTCACTTAATTTACAACATATGAAATTCCAATTTACAACATCATGAAGAATAAAATAACTAGGAAAAACATGGGGATCGGGTACAATTAACTGCGAAAGCTTTCGTCCGTGAAGCCTAATGTTTAAACTTTAAACCTAACATGTTAACGCTAAACAACTACGAAAGAGTCTCAGCTAAACTGTAAAATCTTGACCAACACGGAGGACTTCTGCACACTGCTTCCAACCAGCACAAATTTCACATTAAAAAACTGCTCTAAACGTTATTATTTGTAAAGAAAAATACTACTTACATTCGTATTTCCGTCTTGAATCGTGTTTTATTTTCAATTTTCAAAGAATCATGTTTTCAATTTGTCAATAAATGAAATTTTTAAAAGATTTTCCGAGACGGTTGTTGTCTAATGTTAGAGTCATGAAAGCTGCCATCTTGAATAGAGACTCAGGCTCGTCAATAACTGTTTTCTATAAGTTTTTATTTTCAATAGGAAAAATATAAAATCCCTATTTTCCTAAATAAATAAATACCATACTATAATATTCATTTCATTATTTATATTGTAAAATTTGTCCGATATTGTTACAATTAAAATATTAATTTTTTGTTGAATGGGTTTGAGCTGAACTTGTTTTGATCACGCACATGTATTCTTGTTTATGGCTTGCGATCGCGACGTAGCGTGGTCAGGATTTGGGATTCAAATGGCGCCAGTGAAGCCACGCCCACCACTGGATAGGCATAAATCACAAAGGCGGAAAATGGGGAAAAAGTAAATATAAAATGAGCAATCATGACGTTAAAATTAGGTACAAAATGACAAGTTTATTAGCTTGCAAAAACGTTTACATTTTTCTGCCGAACATCCGAACCAGGCCTTTACGTTCGGTTTGGTTCGGTTCGGAAGTGCCATGTTCGGTTCGGCGGTTCGGCTACATCACTAGCGCATACCTCCAATATAGTTGTAGTATCCAGCTTTTTTAATGAAACTTCCCCTAGTTTCGGAAGCAGTTTTACACAAAACTACTAACTTCACCACTATCACGAAACTGGGCAGAGAGTGAGACTGGAGTTTAAAGTCTAGTGAAATGTTTTTTTTTTGCATATTCATATTGTCCCAGACTTATCTCTGGAAAAATGCGGAGCCTCTTTACACCGACTTCTGAAACAGAAAAAATATATTTGAAGAATAATATCAATTTGTGTGTGCTGTGAATTTTTCATGAGCTTTGAAGCTAAAATAAGGGAGAAACGTGAAGGTGAATTGTAGACAAATTTTGCTCCTCTCTTTGAATAACGATAACTTACCTGTTTGAAGTTTGAGTGTAATTTTATGAGGGAGTAGGGAAGAAATTAATTGCCCTCCTCTCCCTCCCTTTTGATAGAGTTTAACTCTAGTTCACGTCCATTATGCAAGTTATTTGACCTTTCAGGATCAGTGAACACATTTTGTGGCTACAAAGAATGAGTGCATATGTGCGAAGCGGGCTCTCAATTAATCTCTTCCCAATACTCCCTCATAAAATTAAACTCAAACTTCAAACAGGTAAGTTATCATTCGAGATTTCAATAAGTGCCCCCTTTCCTTCAACAACTGCCACTTTTCCTTTGCAATAAGTGCCCCTTTTCCTTTTTTTGATGAGCCCCTTCCCCTTTTCCAAATGCCCCTTTTTATAACCAATGAATTCCCCTATTAAAATCTGATAGGCGCCCTTTTCCTTCAACATATTCCCCATTTCCATTCTCACAAGTGCCTTTTTCCATCTCTGTTGAGGCCTTTTCAGGTGCAAGAAGTGCCCCATCTTCTGATAAGTGCCTACTTTTCCTTTCTCCATAACATGCTTGTGATGCTACCCTAATTTAAAGCTACGTAGAGCCCCTTTATCTTTAATTTTCATTATAGCTTGCTCGCTACACATGCTCGCATTTGTAGTTGTTATAATTATGTTGTTTTTTGTCCTCTTTTTAAGATTAATTTTTTTGCACTGGGACCTCACAAATCTTTTATTTTTTGCTGGCTCGCTCGAAAATTAATATTCTGACCGTCACACCCAAATGCAAACTTTGTTGCTTTAGCAGTATCTTGTACCACATAAAGAGAGAAAAAAATATTGATGTCATCCCTGATAATCTAATTACAATCATGACAATGTAGGGGTATATATATCAATGTCTTAAAATGGTGTAAGTTTCCCTTTGTATGGGCGCCCCCCCCCCCCCTCCCCCCCCCCCACTTTGGAAGACGCTCAACCGCCCCTGCTATATATCATATATGGCTAAATCTGTAATGTCACTGTGACCCAGTACCCTACAACTTTGCAATTTGTTTCAAAACTCAAAATGACCAAAATTTCAACTTTTCAAAAACGAAGAGTTGTCCATGATTACAACACAATCCGTAGATCAAATTACAAATTTGAGATACACATAGATTTAGTATTCTCATATTTCAAACATTCATAATCTCTTATTATTGAGTTGACTCAATTTCATTTTAACTTTCACCAGTTTTGTTATTCAAAATTTCTCCTTTCTGTAAGAGCAGTTATTAGCTATGAGGGTTGGATTTTCATTTAAAACCTGACTTTAATGTACTGGGGGTCAGTTAAACACACCGACTCACAGCCTTGGCTGTCGAAGACAAAAAATAAATAATATTAAAGAGAGAAAGAATTTGGGGGGGAGCATCCCCCCCCCCCTCCCTCCCGAGATCTAGTGCAAGTGTGTTTTGTCACTGTTGTTCAAATCTATAAATTCCACCATATACAGCTGTATCTGACATTACCATGCTCTTGTGTCAATTCCCATAATATCATTTCTTTGTATATATATACCCTATACAATCAGAATATTCCCAACATGATTTTTAATTATTTTTACTAGTAATCATAAACCCTTTGAATATATATATTTTGTCAGAGATGGGTACATCGCCCCCCCCCCCTCGAATATAATACATTTCTATAATGTTTTGTCACCAAATCAATCTCACCATTTGATTTTGTCACAAAAGCAATCTCACAAATTGATTTTTATCACAAAATCACTTGATGAGATTGCTTTTTGTGATAAAACATTGATTTTGTGACAGAATCACATGTGTTACACTTGGGGCCCCATACATTCCAGCCCCTTTTATCTTTAAATATAGTTCAGTATTAAATCACACAAGTCAAGTCAAGAGGCACATATTTGGATAAGGAAAAAAAGTTTTAAAAAGTAATCCATTTTATGTACACTGTAAATACATGTCACTGATATGCATAAAGTAAGTTGGAATCCCCCTTTTTTTAAATCAATTACAGGATGTCTTGCTGGGGTTATCATTCATGTGCCTTTCCAGCGGACTGAGTTTCTGTCAAATGAGAAGGACATCTTGCACCATGGATGGATTCTGCCTTCTCTATCTGCTCATGATTCTCCTGGTGAGATCTGGTGATGTTGAAACCAACCCTGGACCAGACAGGTCAGTCTATATGTATTTGAACTTATTTCCAGTTCTTTATTGCAACAGTAATGAGCAGTAGGGATATTAAGTACTTTTCTTACTATTAAACCATAACACCACATACATGCGTGCCAATTTTTCTTCCATATCCAAGTGCACTGCTTAATGAGATATAAACCTTGTGCCTGTATGTATGCTTCAATATACCTTTAAATAAATCTTATCAGTACATGTAGCTTAATAAAATCAGGTAGATATGCGCATGAAGCTGTAGGTACTGACAGTGTTCAGCTGTAGGAGATAGTGTACGTATTTGTAGGCTGGAGTAGTTTATTCTTCCATGTAGTTGTAGTTGTCTGTTTCGCCCAAAGGCTTTTTAAGAACTGAACTAAACTTACTAAGTATGAAGATAGGTGGGTACAGTAAGGGTTACAATACAATAAGACTTATAAGATACTTAGTGTTTAAGATATGCTTGATAAAATCTATTTTTTTAATTACAGGATTGTCAGTGAGAGAGAATTCTTTAAGCTGTCCAAGCAAATTGATCCTAGCTACTACAAAGAGGTGGGCATTAACTTTGACATCCCAAATGCAGAGCTCGGTCATATCGAGAAAGAGAGCCATAATACCAGTGATGCATTGATGACAGTCTTCACAAGATGGAGAGACAAACAGCCTCCAGGCACAGACATCAGGGCTCTTCTTGCAGAGGGATTGAAAAATAGTGACTTAGGGTCTCTCTCTGATGAACTACTCGCTGGCAGTCTAGTCCCAAACAGGACAGGTGAGAATGAGAAGGAAATCATGTCGGCTGCCTGCAAGAAGGCCTTTTCTGTCATTGATAATGTATTGCTCTTGCAGGCAGCCAACAAACACTAATTTGACACTTCCTCGTTTGGTACAAATAGGGTTATTTTATAGCAGGACATCCAAGTAGACGAACAGCCCATGAGACTGATACTGCTGGTCTGTTAAACCCTTAAAAAAATAGTTGTCAGAACACCCACGAGACCAACATGTCAGTCTTGTGGATTGTCAGTCCATGGGTCGTTGGTCTCATGGACCTTCTAACAACTTTTCAGATGGTTCGCTAGACAGATATTGTTGGTCTTGTGAGCTGTCGGTCTCATGGGCTGTGGCCATTAATACTAGGGCTGTGCACAACAGTGTAATGAGGTACCCGAGTACACTCCCAGGCTCACAGGCGAATACTCGAGTATTCGGACGCCATGTTTTTTTTATAATTTTTTTGAATTTTTTTGAATTTTTTTGAATTTTTTTGAATTTTTTTGAATTTTTTTGATTTTTTTTGAATTTTTGGATTTTTGGATTTTTTTCCTTTTTTTTCTTTTTTTGCCACTACCATACCACTCGGCAGTTTCTCAAGTCGCTCGCGCAGCTCGCTGAAAACGCATGCAACTTTACTTTGAGTTGCAGTTGAAGGCGCCGATTTAATAAGAATAATAAAACAGTAAACAATGCTGTTTTAAAAACCAAAGATGGCAGAATAATCCATTTTCCTCCAAGTCCAAACAGAAATCTGGACATTTGGTCCCAGTTTCTGAAAGGTGAGTTTGACAGTGCTTGAGTTTGGAAACATTTTTACCGACGGTACCATGCCAGCGGATGCTGCTCTCCCTGGCACGGGTAAGCGTGGGCCTGGACATTTTTTTTTTTTTTGCGGTCGAATATTCGGGTACAAGAAATCGTACCCGAGTAGTTGTCAACCGTGCGGGTACTCGAGCATTCGACTACCCGTCGCAGCCTTAATTAATACATGGCTACAGACCCATTCACTTGGTACTTGTGTATTAAAGGGAGATGATGAAATTAGTTTTACATGAGGCTGTACAAGGATTATCATTCAAATTTCTTGGCATTTCAAGCCCAGCTACTTTCTGACCATTTTTTTCAAGTCATGCTCATCTTTTGACACCAAGCTTATGAAAATTGTACCATTTCAGAGTCGTTTTATCTTTTGTGACCTTATAATGTTAGCCCCAAAATGGATAATTTCTGATTTTTGTGTACAAAACAAAAGGAAATCTACATTTCTCTCATTTCTTTCTATTTCGAGTGTAATTGTTCTTTGAGCTATAAAATATAAGCTTTATATGGTTCATCATTATTGTCCATACTGTTAAGCGATGGAAATTAATGATATTGACATGTTACTTGATGGATACATATATAGACATATGTATATACCTTCATACCTAAAGACAAATTCTATTGAGATAAATAAGAAAGAAAACAAACAGAAATGTCATGCATCAACAATAGTATATATATGTATGATGTGCAGACAATAAGTTATTATCTGTTCTCATTTGATCTTGAAAAGTTGACAACAATAAATACATCAGAAATTTGTTTTTATGTTCATGTGTATAATGTTATGAATATCCTAAACAAAAACATTTTGATATTCAGAAGAAATTATCACACTTTTAAAGGTGCACCTGTTACAAGGCCAGGATCACAGACCCAATCACTTTCTCCTGACCTGATCAAGAGATGTGCAGATGATTTCAAATTCAAGTACCGGACAGCTTTCTGTAAGATCAGAGATGATCCTCTCGACCCTGATTCCATTGTACCATTCACAGACATGTACACAAACCTTGTCCTGGAAGAGGAATATCGGAAAAAACGCAAGCGACCACTTGAGTACAGTGATCTCTTTAAACTCGAAGTCAATGGAGAGTTCCCCAAGCGGATCATGGTTCAGGGAGAGGCTGGGGCTGGAAAGACAACATTCTGTGCTAAGATTGCCTGGGACTGGATAAATGACAGTCCTGCTGTCCCAAAGTTTGTGTGGGTACTTGTTGTCCCTTTTCGTGAAGCCAAACAATACACGATCGGTGAGATTGCCAAGTCGTATCTCTCCAAGGACAACCCAGCAACAGCCTGCCAGATCACTGAGTACATCCGATCAAATCCAACTCATGTTTTCATTGCGTTTGATGGATTAGATGAGTTTAAGGGCAAGGTTGTACAGGAAGGGGAAGCTGGTTCAAAGTCTGAATGTCACCAGCCAAAGTCTGCTGATCAAACCAAGGCAAGATCAGAATCAAAGATGAACAAGAATAAGCAGCAAAAGTCAATGCAGCCAAAGTCATCAAGTGCCACTTTGCAGCCAAGAGTCAACAGTGCAGAGGCAAGTGGAAGTTCTTCAGAGAGAGGTGACATTGCACTTACAGACATTCTTCATTCAGATGAACTTGCCACTTGCCCGGTGTTGGTGACAAGTCGCCCATGGAAGGTCACAGAGATAAGAGATAATGATAGTCTGAGGAAGCTGTACACTTTCATTCATGTGGAAGGTTTTAGCAAGGAGAATGTGGAGGTTTACATTCACAAGTACTTTCCTGAAGATACGGTCAAAGCAGATCAGCTTATCCAATTAACCAAGGACAATGTCATCATATCTAAGAATATGGCCCCGTTTCCTATCTACATAGCTATGCTCTGTCTTATGTGGAAAGAACTTGGTGACGAAAAACAAGAAAAGTTGAAGTCATTACAAACTTTTTCTCAAATATTTGATGAAATGTTTGAATTCTTGAAGGTGCATTATGCTCAGAAAAATATCACAGATTTAGACAGCCCATCTTTCCAAGCCTATCGCTCTCGAATTGAGAAGCTCATGGAACCAGTTGCCCAAGTTGCTTTCACCGGGCTACAAGAAAACATCCTTAGTTTCAAAGAAGGCGATTTTGAACAGTGCTCAGACTCCATTGAAACAGCTTGCAGAGTAGGGGTGTTGTCTCAGGAGAAAAAACTGTCATCTATATATGATAAGAGCAATCCGTACCTGCAGTCTACAATCTTCTTTCCACACAAACTCTTTCAGGAGTACATGGCTGGGGCCCACCTTGCTTCCCTGTATGAATTAGATCCCAATGAATTCAACAGGCTGATTGAGCAAGTAGTGCTGCCTAGGAAAGAAGAGTTTAGGTATCTCCTGTACTTCACTGTATCACGGGACAAAACTGTTGCACACCATGTCATGAAATGCATGTTACAGGGTGGCATCCAAAACACAGTGGAGATGGATTTCTTTGTTGATATATCCTTTGAGAGTCAGGACCTAGACACTGCAGCCTTGTTGAGGGGTAGAATATCATCTCTGACAATACAGCCAATAATGACAGCACACACAATAGCAGGTTGTATATTCACTGGACTAGGTGTACATAGAGATGTGGTAAGTTTGATATCTTACAAACATTAATAAGTATTATAATTTAAAGGGGATGTCCACCCTGATATTAACTTGGTTTGAATAGAAGCAGAAAATGAGAAAAACAGGTCAGTGACAGTTATGAGTTTTGAAGATGGGCGGGGGAGGACTCGGGTTTCTGATGTTTGAGAGGATGGTCAGTATGTGATGACAGCAGAAGGTGCTGAAGATGCTAAAACTTTCAATAATTTTTCTCTCTCCTTTTCCTGCTTTTATTAAAACCAACTTACCAATATCTGGGTGGACTTCCCCTTCAATTGCAAACCCATCAGGCATTTACAGACATGCATTTTTTTAGGAATGGGTATTTAATATTAATTCATTTATTTGTTGTATAATTAAAAAAAATATGATTAGCAGCCAATGGCTGAATTGTTCACATTTTACAAGCATGTTTTAGAAATACATAAAATACAATACTAAAAATGGTAAGAATATCCAAAAGCCAGATGATGCTTACAGTACATAATTCATGGAGAGAAGTAAATTGCGCTTTTGATCAAATTAAATTATGTCCATCGGTCCCACCATTTTATCTGTCCTCTTCCTCCCCCTCTCTTTCCCCTTCTCTGTCTCTCTCCCTCTCTTGCCTGTGGGTTGTTGGCAGATATATCAATAATTTGGTTTAATTCAAAGTCAAAAGTATTTAGGATAAGTTCAAAAGAGAATATAATTAATCAACGGTATGAGTATTAAAAAGAGTAAAAAATATTGCATAATTACAAACCTTCAAATTGGTAAATAAATTGTATCAAATTGTTTAGCAGGGCTTGAATGGGGTGTAAAATCGTACATATTATATAATAAACTAATTAACAAAAAAATAATTGACAAAAATGACGAGATAAACGCATTAAACCGAGGATAAAGGGATTTTGCGGGTACTTTTACCTAAGTATGATGCACAACAGATTTATTTATGGATCCCCCTCCCCCTTTACTTTAAATTGAAATTCAAGAGCCTGATGAGGTAGAGGAGGAGCACTTCTTTTGAAGCGCTCCGTTTTAAGACTTCGGACTAGGTTTGGCCATTTCGCAATGATCAACAATGTAAAGTTGATTGCAATGGAGGAAGCCCGTGGTGAAAGTTTGATGATGGGCTGGTCAATCTTTTGAACAGACTCAATGCTAGTTTCTCTCGTCATTCATTGAGAGTGGGCAGTTCCAATTCTTTTAGAGCATGTTGGTAAGTACAGTAGTGCAGTCCAAGCAAAAGGCAGCATGCTCATTTTTTGGATTCTTTCAATCTGATTACTTTGGTTTTCAGTTAGCCCAGAGGGCCAAGCAGGGGCACAGTATTCTACCATGGGCCGAACGTAAGAACAGAAGACAAATTCGATCATTTGCTGGAAGTTTGAATCTGTTTAATATTCTGAGCATGTATAGTTTTGTGCTTGATCGCTTGACAATATTATTCACATGATATGAACATTTCAGATCATGTTTAACCAGTACTCCAGGGGGTGTTTCATAAAGCTGTTCGTAAAGTTACGCATGACTTTACAAATGACTTATATATGGAAAGACAAATGCGATGCTCAATCATTTTTAACTGCATCAACTTAAGTTGAACTGTGCAGATGTAGATTAATTATAGTAACGCTGCCTTGCGTCAATCCGTGCGTCCGTCCGTGCGTCCTTCCGTGCGTCCGTAACAAATTTGGTTTCTGATTGATAACTTCAGTAATGTTTGACGGATTTTAATGAAATTTGATATGAATGTACATGATATCAAAATACAGGCTAATTTTGTTTTCGGAGTATGTAGGCCAAAGGTCAAAAGTCATAGCTCATTAAATATGCGAAAAAATACAATCTGGTTTCCGATCGATAACTTTAGTAATGTTAAACAGATTTTAATGAAATTTGATATGAAGGTACATGATATCAAAATACAGGCTAAGTTCAATTTCTGAGTATGTAGGTCAAAGGTCAAAGGTCATAGCTCATTAAATATGCGAAAAACTACACATCTGGTTTCCGATCGATAACTTTAGTAATGTTTGACAGATTTTAATGAAATTTGATATGAAGGTACATGATATCAAAATACAGGCTAAGTTCAATTTCCGAGTATGTAGGTCAAAGGTCATAGCTCATTAAATATGCGAATCTGGTTTCCGATCCATAACTTTAGTATTGGTTGACGGATTTTAATGAAATTTGATAAGAACGTTCATGGTATTAAAACACAGCCTAAGTTCAATTTCAGAGTATGTAGGTCAAAGGTCATAGCTCATTAAATATGCAAATCTGGTTTCCGATCCATAACTCTAGTATTGTTTGACAGATTTTAATGAAATTTGATATGAAGATTCATGGTATCAAAACACAGCCTAAGTTCAATTTCAGAATATGTAGGTCAAAGGTCATAGCTCATTAAATATGCAAATCTGGTTTCCATTCGATAACTTGAGTAATGTTAGACAAATTTAATGAAATTTAATATGAAGGTACATGGTATCAAAATACATGTACAGCCTAAGTTCGATTTCTGAGTATGTAGGTCAAAGGTGAAATGTAATAGCTCATTAAATAGGCAAAGCACCCAGCACTATACAAAATCAAACTAATAAAGTTTCAAATAATTTATACACAAAACAACATTTAAGAGAGAAAGAAAGAGATGAGAAGGAAGCATTACAAATTTGCACAAGTCTTCAAGGAGATGTCTTTAATACAATATTTACACTAATGATATTTTTAAGTGGGTATACTACCGGCAATGATGATTATTGACTGTCCATTTTTGTTGTAGTGGAGGGGAGGAGGGGGGGGGGGGGGGTTGATGTGAAACATACATTATGATAATACTTGAGCAGTTTCATTTCATATACCCATCACTATAGGCATAGGATAAATATCAACAGTCAACTATTTGAATTAGTTTTATTGGACTACCAACCCTTTTTTGGTTGGAAAATAAACTGTCTGCTTGAAATGGCATCCTACACCTCAGTTTTGCTGCAACCAGTCCTCTTGATCATTTGATGCTCAGACTTCAGAGTAACCCTTAATTTTGATGGATGGAATAATTTAGGGCCCTTTAAAAATGGCCTTGACCATGCTGCATTGCAGATAAAATGTTATAGCAGGCCTTCCTTTGCAAATAAATTTGGGATCATATAGGTTTCGTAGCACTACTCTGATGATATCGACCACTGTATTAAGTAACCATTCTGTAATCATTCAATGAGACTTTCTTAATGCAGGTCGAGTGACAGAAGCATCAACAAAATCTGAGGTGGTCTTAAACTTTATCAATGGACTCTGACTTTCTCATATTATAATTTTTCGTTTGTTTTGTTTTTGTTTTTGCTTTTGATTTAGATCGATCTTGGAGTAAATGGAGTATTCGGACCAATTATATCACATGATATGGGGGAGATTATATGCTCTGTGCCCTCTATTAAGGATGTTACACTACTTCGAGCTGCCTTGCACAGTGACTTCTATGCAGTTCTTGCTAAAGAAGGAAACAAGTCCAAGGTGAGTGAAAAAACACATTGTAAAGCCGTAGTCTAGCCTAAGGAGGCGCTTTGTCAAGACGCAGAACATCAATCGCTTGAAAATTTGAAAAATCACTGTGATTACAGTTGTAGAAAAAAAATTAAGTTGGGTCAGGAATTTAAAAGTTAAAAACTAAAATGTGTATTGTTTTTGTCATTCTGTCACTTTTTGGCATCCTCCCAGTAAGATTTACACGAGGATGTTGCAAAATTTTCTCACAACAAAATACAAAATTGTAGTGGGAGAAGGGGGGGGGGTAAACCTTCCCCCTTCAGTTGCCAAACTTCCTTAAATATCCCACCCACCTCCTCCCCCCCCCCCATTCCTGCCATGACAAGATATTGCTGCCCCTGAATGTTTGATTTAGGGATAAACCATAATAAACTTGAGTATTGAATGGGAAATGCACATTGGGAGTCAATACATGCAAAGTGTTAAAATAATTTAAAGCCTATCAGAAAAGGTTTTTATTGCCAAGTCTTGAATTATATTTAGTGTTCACTTAACTTCTTTCTGATTTTACGTTCATGACATGTTGCATTAACCTCAATTTAAAATTTCTGCATCATGTCAGGGTTTCTTTTTACAATTTAGTTTTGACTATACAACCGTCTGTAGTGTATATTGGATTCCGGACCAAAGTTTGTGAAGTCAAAGAATCAATTTGGAGAATGTTCTAAAGTAATATGAATCAAATATGACATTTATTTTTAAAATTGCCACTCACAGGCCAACAGCTTTTTTGGCTAAAATCACAGTGCACATACCTGCCTAAATGTAAATAAAAATATGGCTGATGATGATGATATCTAATTGAAAAGGGAATTGAGATGAAAATAAGAGATGAACTTGCATTTTAAGAATGTTATTCAATTTGTCGACAAACTCGATTTCCTGGTACATCATAGTTATTTTCATTTAAAGCGACTACCTATATTCTTTATTTCTGATATTACTGTTTTTCTTTCCTAATCACTGTCTGAGTCGCTGCTACTGTCAATGATTTTCGCTGCTCTGATGTCGTATTTGATGTCCTGCATCCTGCTAAATTTGCTTGATAGTCCTTGGTAGCGACACCCAATGTAGCACAGTATTTCCTTCTTAGCACATGAGCAGTTCTTCTTGCACCCTTCAGTACATCCGCATAATATAGCCTTCTTCATTGAAACGGGCCAGGCTTGATGGGTACTTCGAACAGGAAGCATGTGCTGATCATCCAGATTCCACCCAAATTCTGTCCAGGGTGGGGTTTTAGGCTTGGCAATGTGTGCTCTCTTATTCATCATCGTTGCAAGGGCATGCAGCTCTCTTTACATGAAGAAAAAATGCGTCTCCTGTTTGGGGGGGGGGGGGGGGAGGAGCCTTAGGAGAGTATAGATCTGTTGTTCAAAAACTTGTATGCTCTGAGATTGCCCAGATCAGACTCCTTGAAGTCATCACTTGCTGAGGTGTTAATATATGTTGTGATGGCCCTAATACCTCCTTGATTAGTTCTCTGGATACAACGTCAGTGATGGCCCTTGCCTTGGGGTTCTCACCAAGTCAACAATCTCTAGTTCTCCATCACTAGCAATGATCTGTGTCATACGCAGAAGAGCAGTTACTTCATCACTCTTCCCTGATTTAGCTCTTGTGGGCCCAGACTTCTTTTGTTTCTTGTTTTGTGTGTGGAACGTGTTCAGCTTCATAATACTTGTCTTCTTCTGAAGACTGGATAGTGATTGAGACAGTGCCTCCCCGCCTATTTGTTTAACACTGCTCAAGTTGTCCTAAACTGTGCAATCAGCACATTGCCCAGTTGACACATTTATCAGGGATGTTGTAGTTGCACTGGATGGATTCGTCTCGACTGCTACCATTACCTTGATGACCATCTCTGTGTCCCTTGTTACTCGACATACACCAGATTCATTGTTAGGGCTGGGTGAAAGAAGATGCAGCATCGATATTTACTGTGCAGAGACAGATGTGATGGGTTTTAATTGTTTAAAGAGATGGTTCATTGAAATGTGGAAAATGGGCATATTACACCTCTACAGATTGCTGAGAACATTAACAAAATGAGCAAAGTAGTTTTGAAGCCCTCACTGTTGTGATAAATAAATTAAATGCAATTTTGTTACCCTTTCCCGAACCTACTCACAAAGTGAATTGACGGCGTTATTTTACATGCGAAACGGTGACGTCACAATATGAACAACCTACATCACACATTCGGGACTATGTTGGATACCCATTGCAATTTTCAGATATGGTTTAACGTTGTTTATATATTTACCGCCAGTGGTGATATTTCCTCTATTTTTGGCATTTTGAATGAGATACACTGAATAAATGATTCTTTCTCCAAATGTTTGTTTGATTTTTATATTTTTTTCCGTCACATTTGAGCATAAAAATCGGAAAACTAATCACATATTCTGAGGGCACTTCAGCGTGTACATGTATGTGTCTGATCTGGGAAGGCAAAGGACATTTTGCATGCTGGCCTAACGACTCTTTTGTAGTAAAATAGGCGACAAATTTACATAGAATTGTTCAAATATTCATTACAGAAATGTGTGATTAGGCTGATTAATTTTCATTTTTGATAAATTAAGTCGTAGGACCTGATAAACCGAGAGAGAAACATTTCAGTCCGGTTCGCGATTCACGGCTAGCTCGAGCGCCGGGCTACGGGCTAGGCTGGCTAGCAAGCTGTGCTAGATGTGATGCACGCATATTACGTACGTACGTACGATATTAATTGCACACAGAGCCTGCCTAGCCTACAGCTACACGCGCGCGCACGTATATCTACTACGGGAAACTTGAACGCTAAATCGACGATACTTATATTCACTCGCTTTTCGAAAGTTATATACCATTTATCTGGACTAAAGTCAGATTAAGAACCAAAACCATGCCATGGAGGAGCCTTCTGGAGTATACTCAAAAGGCGAGCAGGTAGTTGTTGCCGCGGATGTGCTGGCAACCGGTTCAACTTCAACTAAAAAGTCGTCGTCGACAAGCAGGAAGATTGGGCGAAGATGCAATGCTTGCCATCTGCTCTCCTTGCAACAAATGCACCCGCCATAAGTGCTTCATGTACCTGTACATCAGGGGCTGTTTTAGGAAGATTTTTCATCTCATCAAGATAGAGAGGCAGAGACTGCTGCCCATATTTGTAATGCCCTGCTGCTTTGAGGTAAGGTATCATTCAATATGATTCACAGACATGTCCTACCCAGTCAGCTTCTCGCTGGTAGTAGTTAAATCTATGCAGAACATCAGGAAGGTGGACCAGAAGATTGCTGTTGGTTGATCAACCATTGATTCTGGGAGAAGTTCCTGAAGGGCTGATAACTGTTCATGGGAATTCTGAAGCATTTGCAACTTTTCAGTGGCAGTGATGTCTTTTTCATAGAGCATTTTCAAGACAGATTCCACCTCAGGCTGCCAGTGATCTGTTTCTCTGTCTGCTGCCCATCATGTCTAGAATGCTTCCTAGTAGAGGCGCCACATAGTTTCGCTCAGGATTCTGAGGGCATGTATGGCCTGGTAGTAGTCGGCTTTATCACCAAACATCTTCTTGGCAGCCCCTTCCTGGCACAGACCAGCTGCAACAAGAAAATCTTCTGCACCTGCCGCCCTAAAGATCTGCAAACTGCTTTCATGTAGTTGTGAGCTTGATGAAAGCCACCCAGCAGTAAGACCACATTGCTGAACTCACTACGATGCTTGTCTCTGATGGCTACAGCGAGCTCATATGTAGCCTGATCTCCAGTTATAATTGTGTATTTGTTACCACGTGCATGTGATGTCCTGACAAGTCAAATCATCATTTCCTTTAGTACAGTAGGGTCAGTTGGAGAAGATGGGATCAGAGGAAGATAGCCAATGATTCTAGCCTGTCTATGTGGATGGAGGTCAGCACGGAATGAGGAAAAGCCCGGAAGTCCTGCTTCTAAAACTCTAGGAGCATCCACCAGTTGCGAAGTTGTGATCATTCTACCGAGGCGCCACATAAGCAGAACGTCCTCAGTCTTCATGGCCATCTGAAGAGTCAGTGAGTCTGGAACCATATTGTATGCAGAAGTGAATGAAATCTCAGTTGAATTTTTCTCACACATCTCTTTCTTACACTTCACAATCTGCTCTAAGAATCTTTGATGCTTGCAGGAGTGTATGGGGTTTTCCCTCGATATCATCTCCTTCTAGGTGCCTCAGTTTTTTCAGTGCGTTACCAAGTGGTAATGTGGAAGCACATATAAATCCTGAACCTTTGGTTTGATTGAGAACCAAAATATGTGACCCATAGTATTCATGTAATGTATGTTTCAAGATGGTCGCCCGGTATTTATCTCCTTTATCGACACCAAGCTCCTCAAGAATGTCTCGGTACCTTACGCGGATGATTCTATGAGGAATGTGGACAGACAGGAGCTGGAAAAGAGGAGCTTCCAGCTCATCTACAACATCATAAGGGTTTAACTTTGACCGACCAGAATGCGAAGAGCCTTAAATTTGTTCATATATGTTGTTACACACGTAACTGGATGAAGAATAGGCTTATCACAGATTCTTGTTGGCATATGATGCATTTTGTGTAGTCAGTGCTCATATCTTTGGAAGACTTCTTAGCAGGCACATGCTTCATGGACATGGCACTATCTGCCACACGTTTTCTTGGCTGGTTACTCATCTTGCTGTAGGAACCTATAATATAGAGGGGTGTATCATTTGAATAATAGTTGCACTGTATTTATATTTCATATAAACCTAACTTTGAAATGTTACTTTACATTAGCAGGCAAACTTTCACTCTTTCTTGTAATTCTTGTAAGATCTTAAAAGACAGACCCAGGAATTCTGAAATTCATCTAGTATGAGGTTGCTTTGGTCAATGTCACCCTCTTATACCTATATCAATTATAAAACAACATTGAGATGGGGGTAATAGGTATATTAGTATTGGATTAACAGGAGCATTGGATGTAACAAACATGTAAAGTCATCACAAAAGGTTGCAAATCCGATTTAAGTGTTGTGATCCAAAACACAAGATGGAACAAAATTTATGCTACATTATATTAAGGTTTATACTAATCTACAAGTGTTAAAGTGGAACTAGTATAAGAAACTATATATTTATTGGTTCACTTTCTCTTATATTTACATCAGGTAATGTTTTAATACAGAGTCCTTGAGAAGAATCTTCAGGATTGCTCCATAGTGATGCCAGATGATTAAATATGGAAATTCTGTAATAAGCTGCTAGATAATATTTTATCAATAATCCAAAAGTTTGCTAAGAGTAAAAATATTCTGATTTGAGTTAGCAAAACTTACTACATCCTCAAACCTGCAACTGAAATTCCTACCTCATACCAAAAGGTTCAAGCTGGTTAGGAAGTTTCTGATAGTTTCTTCATCATTCTATTAGTTGAAATGTACTTGTAATGTTTGATTTCCTGTCTCTCTGATGTTGCTAACAACTCTGTTTAGTCATTTATAGAAAAAGGGAAGAATGCAATTAATCATTCACGTTTCAGTTGCAAACTTGACACATACGGTATGCGGCAATGATGACTCATATTAAATGTATTATCAGGGAACTAAACTGCATATTGTCCAAAATGAACTTTGTTACGCTATAACTTTTTTTACATGAAAAGCAAAACATCTGTAATTTTCAGATCATATTCAACTAATATTACATACCTGCCAACCCTTACAAATAATCCGGAATATTCTGTTTTTCTGGATTAGTCATTTATAGAACTTCATTAAAATATTTGTAGATCCAGACAGGATTCTATGTTTTATTTGACCATGTCATATAAAACCAAGATTCTACAATTACCTTACACAATTTGTATTAATTACAATTCAGAATTACTAATTTTGGGGGGAATTTATGAATTGCCCCTGCCACTTGTGTCTCCCCCATCGCCCAGCCAAACCTTTCACTGTCCCTTCAATCATTAAGAAAAAGGATAGAATGCAATTAGATGATTCACGTTTCAGTTGCAAGGGCAAACCTGACAGATATGCGGCAATGACGACGCACGTTAAACGTATCGTCAAGGAACTGGTCTGTGCATATTGTCCAAAATGAACTTTACTACGTTATACATTTTTTTACATAAAAATCAATGAACCTGTAATTTTCAGATCGTATTCAACTAATATTAGGAAGGTTTTCTATATATTTTTAATTCTTCAGTTTCAAAAGTGATTGAAATATGGAGAAATAACTCCACCAGGTGTAAATGGGTACCTGATATTATTCAGCACTAGTTACTTTGGCAGCTCGGCTACGACCAGGGTAATATGCGTAAAGCACCATGAGCGTCAGAGCTTGGCGGATACTGGTGCTATATAATTATCCTATTATTTATTATTATTATTATTATGTAAAATAAATTCAATCATCATGAATGTGGTATCATCTTGTAGATAATTTAATTTTCTTTTATTGATACCACATGCATGGTAAAATGATGTTCTGTTACAAAATTATCATCTAATTATTGACTATTTTTTTTCCAGAAAAATATTGTCAGCGTGGTCCACCTAGAAATTGTGCAGGAAGATCCTCTGATCATGTTCATCCCGACCAAAACCCCCCAAATTAAGGATTTGCCCCCTAGGTATTCAGCTATTTTGTTGTTGCCTTGATGGTATTATGTCTTCATTCAACAGAACTATAGTACATACAAATTATTAAAACATAGCAGGCCACATAATACGAACCACAAAGGAAAATTATAGTAAGGAATGTATATGTTCTATAGCTAGACCACTTTCATGTACAATATAACATCTATTATTATAATCATCATAATCATTTTACGCTTGTAAATAAAATTATCATTCTTTAAACTCTCTAATAAAATATTATCTTTAGCAATGCTGGTCTAAATATTTGAATTACAATGAAAAGGTGCTATACCGAATATTTTACTGAGAAGATTTGCATTTAATTCACATACCTCTAAAATACAGTAGAATCACTGCAATTCGCTCCTACGCTCAGGAATTCCTGATCTTCCTCTTACCTGAATCTTCAGTATGGTCATATCCTATTAGACTGTCTATCCCTGACTCTTGACAAAGGCCTTATATTTTCATGCACTTTTGATCTTACTATAATGTACATAAAAATCACCTGAAGGTACTCAGTATTTTAAAACATATAAATAATACACATTCTGACTTCTCACTGTCTGATTTAACTTATAAAAGTATACAAAGGACTAATATTGGGAAAACTACTCTATGCAAATAAATACTAGCCCCAACAAGACCCTTTCATTGATGCAGTCTCTGACCACATGTTTACAAAATTCCTGCTCCCCCTCCATCTACCAGTGTTAACCCTATTTAGCCCGGGGGGGGGGGGGGGGGGGCTTCTAAAGCCCCCCCCCCTCGACATTTTACGCGATAATTTTTTAACGCAAGAAAATCTTGCACTGAAATTTTGTGACTTTTTTCTTTCGAGTCTTGCGCATCTTTTGAAAGAAATCTTTTTGAAAATCAAACCTACCATTATGAAGTCACGTGTCATTTTTTCTTTGCATGTCAGCCCGAAAATCGCTCATTTTTGTGATTTGTGTACAAAACATATGGAAATCTCATTTTTCAAATAAAGAGATAAAACATTGGTTATTTGGTCTTGTTTATAGTTAAGGTTTTTATTTTTGGGTCCAAATAGTTGAATTATAGTTGGAAATAAAATAAAACAAATAAAAACAATAAAATACCTAAGTTAAAAAAAACAAAGAAATACATAAAAAATTATCAAAACAATAGATAACATAAGGAAAACCCTGGTTTTTCAATGTTTTGTGTTGTATTATTATTCCAAATGGTCTAAAAAATATATGTAGTGAGAAAGAATGCTTAAAATATGAATAATGTCTGATTTATGGGCAAAAATGTGAATTTGATGACCTTATTTGCATAAATTACCATAAATATGCTAATGAGTGAATTTTTCAAAAAATTGAAATTACCATAGTATTCTATACACTTCACTTGACATGTATGCAAATTTTCGCGACGATCGGGCGTTTCACGGCCGAGATCATAGGGGGGGGCCTTAGAAGCCCCCCCCCCCCCCCGGGCTATGCAGTTTCAAAATAGCCCGGGCTAAATAGGGTTAAACCTATTTCAGTCATTCAATTTCTGTACAGATCAAGACTCTCTGCCTTCATGATGTTGAGTGCCTCACACCAGCCTCATCACATGATGACAGCTAGTAAACAAAAGTTATATAAAGAGAAACATACATGTTGATCTAGAAGTATATGTAAATTAATGAAATTGAAAATCTATTTGGCAAATTAACGTAACCTTCATATTGTAGTTATGTTCATGATGAGCTGGGTATTACTCAGCGTCCTGTGTTTGTTTTTGTTCATAAATATTTTGGATGGATGCAATTACTCTGATGAATACGCAGTTGTTACATGTACTACGGCTATAATAGTAAAAGTTAGTCCTATAAATCTTTTTTGATGCATTTTCTGCGCCCACTACCCTGAAATAACCGATTTCTGAACTTAACCCAGCACTAAAATCTATAATAAACCGTAAGACTAAACCTAAGCTCAAAGCCTATTTGCAGCTCTCATGCGGATCCTATATATATTTGTGACTTAATAAAGCCCAGAACATTTGTCAACTGAGCTTAGTCATACACATACATGTATATTGGAGCACCCAGTTATATTTGCAGTCATTCAATAAATACATGTATTCTGGTAATGTACTTTAATGAATCACTGTTTGTATCACTATGTAGTGAGAAAATGCACTATGGCTGTGTTTGTCGATCCTCCTGTTGTTGTAACGCATGCCCATCAACAATTTTTCTGTGCTTTCCATCCTGTACTAACCAAATTCTTAACTTGATCCCTGCACCAAAAAGTATTCCTATCACTAAACCTGAGCTCAAACCTATTTGTAGCCCTTATCCAAATCCTATATTTGACTATATAAAGCCCATTGCATTTGTTACCCAAGCATAGCCATATACATACATGTATATCAGAGCACCCAGTTATATTTGCAGTAATTCAATGAAAACGTGTACTCTGGTAATGTACTTGTATGAATCACTGTTTGTATACATGTAGGTCCACACTGTCGGGCTTCATGATGTTAGGTGTCCAACATCAGCCTCTTCACATTACCTAGCGGATGCTTTGTGTTCCATGCCAAACCTGATTGACCTGAAACTATGGGGAAAGGAGTTCAAGGAGGAGTTCTATTCTACACTGAATGCAAAGGCATCAACCTTACAGGTGTGTATGTGTGTTTGTACTCTTTATCCATGCCATGATGAAGTCAGGTACACATGCAGCAGTGGAGATGAATTTAAGGAGTTATGATATTTTAGCAACATGCTGTCAATATTTTGTCAACGTGTTAATTTTTTTATATGAAAATGTATAATAGTCTTAGCAGACAAAGGAACAGTATTATAAAAAGAGGGGTTTTCATGTGCAGTGTAAGATACAGAATTCAGATGGCTCGAGTTAAAACTATGATGTTCTGCAAAAAACATCACTTTTAAAGGATTGCCTCAGAAAAGATATTTTGGTTTAATGAAGACTAACTTAAAATTTTTAAGTAAGCTTTTTGGGGGGGACTTGATCCGCCCCAAAAAGTATTCCTATCACTAAACCTGAACTCAAACCTATTTGTAGCCCTTATCCAAATCCTATATTTGACTATATAAAGCCCATTGCATTTGTCACCCAAGCATAGCCATACACATACATGTATATTAGAGCACCCAGTTATATTTGCAGTAATTCAATGAAAACGTGTACTCTGGTAATGTACTTGTATGAATCACTGTTTGTATACATGTAGGTCCACACTGTCAGGCTTGTAGATGTTAGGTGTCCAACATTAGCCTCTTCACATTACCTAGCGGATGCTTTGTGTTCCATGCCAAACCTGACTCACCTGACACTACGTGGGACGGAGTTCACGAAGGGGTTCTATTCTACACTGAATGCAAAGTCGCCAACCTTACAGGTATGTATGTGTGTTTGTACTCTATATCCATGCCATGATGAATTCAGGTACACATGCAGCAGTGGAGATGAGTTTAAGGAGTTTTTATGCCTCAGTTACGAAGTAGCCGGAGACATTATGTTTTCGGGTTGTCCGTCCGTCTGTCCGTCCGTACGTCTGTACACACGTCTGTACGTACGTACGTCCCGTTCTCGTGATCACGTTATCTGAAGAACCGATTGATGGATTCCTGCCAAACTTTGGTCATGTATGTATCTTGCAGAGCCGATGAACTGATTAGATTTTGGGGTCACGAGGTCAAAGGTCAAAGGTCACAGGGCTCATTATGTATGCAAAAACAGCTCGTGATCGCGTTATCTGAAGAACCGATTCATGGATTCCTGCCAAACTTTGATCATGTATGTATCTTGCAGAGCCAATGAACTGATTAGATTTTGGGGTCACGAGGTCAAAGTTTAAAGGTCACAGGGCTCATTATGTATGCAAAAACAGCTCGTGATCGCGTTATCTGAAGAACCGATTGATGGATTCCTGCCAAACTTTGGTCATGTATGTATCTTGCAGAGCCAATGAACTGATTAGATTTTGGGGTCACGAGGTCAAAGGTCACAGGGCTCATTATGTGTGCAAAAACGGCTCGTGATCGCGTTATCTCAAGAACCGATTGATGGATTGCTGCCAAACTTTGTTATGTATGTTACTTGCAGAGCCGATGAACTGATTAGATTTTGGGGTCACAAGGTCAAAGGCCACAGCGCACATTATGTATGCAAAAACAGCTTGTGATCGCGTAATCTCAAGAGCCGATTGATGGATTCCTGCCAAAATTAGGTCATGTATGTTACTTGCAGAGCCAATGAACTGAGTAGATTCTTGGTTCATAAGGTCAAAGGTCATGGGCTCATTATGTATGCAAAAATAGCTTGTGAACGCATTCTTATTAGAACTGACAGATGGATTACTATTTAACTCAGGACATCTTGCAGAGCCAATGAACTGAGTAGATTTTAGGGTCATGAGGTCAAAGATCAAAGGGTCATATATGTATATGAGAAATTGCTTGTAATCACGATATTCTGAGAATCTGTTAATGAATTACAATTGAACTTGAATTCGAAAAATTTCTTCTGTTTTGGTTTGTAAAATTGTTCTATGACGGAGGCATCATTTTCGACTGCACGCAGTTGAATTCCATCTAGTTTTTTTTTTTTTTTTGGGGGGGGGGGGGGAGAGTGTTGTGTTACTAGTTACGCAATAATACAATTTCAGTATAAACAGATCACTGAAGTACTCTAAAGACTAATAGATACAAATAGTTCAAATCAATTCATAAGGTTTGAATAATGTCATCATGGGTCTGAGAGTATACGTCAGATTGAATAGTCACTAAACAAGGATGGAGATCTTGATCACAGTGTACTTATTTTAAGCACAGATTTTGTTGTTGTTTTTTTGTTCTTTTTGTTTTGGGCATGTGCATGATCAGGGAGGATGGGGTGTCAGCATAAAGTTCTGTTGAAAATATTGACCAGTTCAATCAACATAGCTTTTTTGTATGTGTATTTGGTGGGGAGGGGGGGGGGGGGGGGGGGTATATAGGAGTTGTCAACATAACAAGGATACTAAGTCTATATGCCAGAGAGAGTACTGACCTGGTATGTACATGTATGTTAAAGTATGTCAGCCAGACTGGAATGGAGGGAAACTACATGAATCACTATCACCAATCATGCTCATATATTTCTTTTCAGGATTCTTTTCCTCAAATCAGTAATGGATATTTCAGGTTCAATAGAGTTCCCCAAGCGGATTTTGATTCATTCCTGCAGTCACTCAATGACTTCAGACGGTAAGTGAACTATTAAACAAAATAAATTACAAATTAATTTATTGCTATACAACTTACTCCTAGATCCTAATCAAATGATTGGTTAAGCACGGTCACATGTGATTCCTTTACTGTGAATATCACATGTTTTTCCATGAAAAAGCATGCTATAGTTTCTAGTACTATTTAACGATCTTTCCACAGCAGGACATGTATAGTTTAATATGCTTTATATACTGTGTGTGGATTAATACATGTATATCACTGTGCATTGATGCTTGTAGAGGTAAGATTCAAGATTCAAGATTCAAGATTTTATTGTCTATAATATAATACAGAAATTTGTTTTCCATTGGTATAACATGTAATACATAAAACATGTGCTGAAAACCAAAAGGGCGTCAAGACTCTATAAGAAAAAGTCTATGAACAGGTACGGTCCTCCGGCTTTCAGCACAAAACATGACAAGACAGTTATATGACTTATACATAGCAAGAATTTTAAATACAATTCTGAATCACATCATGAATAAATTCAGGTATGAATATAGATGTGAAGATGAAAGTAGAATAGGAGCAGCATCACAATCGAAATATGAGCAGTAAGTGCCCCTATCCCTGTGCGCGCGCTAAATTAAGCCTATAAAATTTGGGTTTATTTATCAGCGATAATTACTAAGAACAATCTTGAAAGTCTCTTTAAATCAAATAACAAGGATCTAGGATATTTTTCGTATAAATAAAATGATGGATGTTTTATTCGTTCATTACAGGATCTATCTGCTCTTGTTGAGGCCGGTTAGGCACCTATCCTATTCAGCCTGACGGCTGTGAACAATATATACAAGTGTCCCCAATAAACATATGTTTTAGTTTTCTTGGGTTGTATCCTGTGCACTATACTTTATTACGTCTGCTACATTCAAAAAGTGAAAATTATGTTAGTTATCATTAATTGAGGTTGCATGGAATGGGACTAATTGTAGGTGTTGGTGCAGATTTATCTCTAAACTGTACAAATACATAGCCAGCTTTACATAGAAATTCTCGCTATCGCCAATATGCCCAAAATGCACAGATGAAGCCTCTCTGAAGTAACTTTGAGCCAATGTACATAGGTACGTCTCTGAAAGCTACATCTAGGTTCTTTATTTTTGGTGACGGCAGCAATGACAAACAAGAGAAAGATCCTCCAAATCTTATCGATGTCTAGATTAAAACAATGGAAGGACCTTCTTGAAACTTCAAGAAAATGACAGGCTTAACTTTAGAATATCCCACCAGAATGGAGTATGTCCATTGGTCGTCTAAAAAGCCAACGAACCCTGTAATGTAGTCACATCCTCTAATATTTCAGACAGGGTTTCACTCTTGCCAATGAACATAACCAAAAAAAGGTGACATGGTTAAACTCATATTCACTTAAATTAAATCCCGCCAAATGCGAATTTATAATGTATGGTTCTGAGACTCAGAGAAGATTTCTTCCATCACTTCAATTACTCTTGCAGGACATGAAATTACCCTATCTAATGTATGTCGCAACCTTGGTGTGTTTCTCGACTCAAACATGAAAATGTCTACTCAAATTCAATATGTCTCAAAATCAGTACGTTATCAGTTACGCAATTTGGGTTTTATTCGTAAATATCTTAACCGTAGTGCCACTGAGAAAATTACTCATGCTTTAATTTCTTCTCGCTTGGATTTTGGTAATGGCCTTTTGTTTAGTTCGCCTCACAACCTACTCGCAAAATTACAAAGATTACAGAATGCTGCTGCTCGTGTCGTGACCCTGTCCAACAAGTACAGTCACATCACACCAGTCCTCAAATCACTCCATTGGTTGCCCGTAGAAAAACGTGTTGTTTTCAAGATTATTTTGCTATTATTTCACTGTATACATGGCTCTGCTCCGCAGTATAACATCGGCTTGAATAAGCATTACTTTCCTTCTAGACAGCTACGTTCTCAAAACTCTGGCTTACTTGTTACTCCTAGGGTTAAAACAAAGTGGGGGGGGGGGGGGGGAGCGAACCTTCGCTCATGCTGGGCCTTCGTTATGGAATACTCTCCCTCAATGGGTTAAAAAACAATCATAAGAAATATCTGTTTAATTTAGCTTATAATTGATTACCATTACCTTTCATGTCTGTACCTTTCCTATCGCACTTTGTATAAATGTATCATGTATGTATTTCATTTCATCTTTTGCACAAGCTGCGCCTTGAGCATTTGACTGTCAAGTGGATTTGGCACCTTATAAATCATATGTATTATTATTATTATTATTTCTACGCTTCTACTTGCTCTTTCCAATCACACCACCAAATATGTTAATTTTTAGTATATTATAGTATATTTTCATCCGTTTTACGTAATAATCGACTCTTGAAATCGTTGAGAATCGTGATAAATCACCGTGAGTGCTGTCAGAAAATAAAGTACACACACACACAATCACCACTGGCGTGCACAGCACAGCTGTGCGAAATAGAAAGGAAGCGACTTGGTCACCAAACTATCCCAGAGTGCATTTGAAACGAGGCCTGAATGTAACATGCTGGTATTTGTAATATATTGGTGATATCGAGAATTAATCAAAGATTTTCCTTATTTATCTTTGCTTTAACAGGAAACAATTTTTTCACTAGCATAACAATTTCAGAATACCACCTCAGGCCTCTCGTGCCTAGGCCCTGTAACATTGAAAGTTACCATTAATATTATCCCAAATCTTGTTTGTACATGTATCTCCTTCAATAAATTGGAACATAATAAATAATAGCAACTTACCACTACTTTTGTATTACAGGTAAATACAATGCTTAATAAGAATCGATTAATTGCAGCAAAACTGAAGATACAACAGATGTGTACAATTGATTGGATTGTTAGTCACTTCATATGTTACAGGGCCAAGATCCTATCCCCTAAACCTATATTTTATCTTCTTTCCTGAACATCAATTCAGGTGGAATTACGTCTCAGACGAGGAGGATAACTTCTCAGACGAGGAGGATGGCGTCTCGGACGAGGAGGATGGCGTCTCGGACGAGGAGGATGGCGCCTCGGACGAGGAGGATGGCGCCTCGGACGAGGAGGATGGCGCCTCGGACGAGGAGGATGGCGCCTCGGACGAGGAGGATGGCGCCTCGGACGAGGAGGGTGGCGTCTCGGACCAGGAGGGTGGCGTCTCGGACCAGGAGGATGGCGTCTCGGACGAGGAGGAAAACGTCTCGGACGAGGACGATAACACCACAGATGAGGAGGATAACGTCTCAGACGAGAAGGTATGTTCTGTATTTGAAAGATAGAGGTGTAGATAAATAAGTAAGGATCTCTTTTTATGTATTGCCATTTCTACCCCCCCCCCCCCCCCCCCCCCCCCGTTACAGAGACACTTACAGACACAATTACAGAAACACACGAATGCACACACCCCAGCAACACACACACACAAACACTTTTTTTTTTCATTTAAAAAAAAAAATATTTCATTCAATATTACATGCAAACACGCCTCACGCCTTCAGTCTGTTTTGTTTTTATGCCTCCGTACGTCCCGTTTTCATGATCACGTTATTTCAAGAACCGATTGATGGATTCCCGCCAAACTTGGGTTATGTATCTTGCAGAGCCAATGAACTGATAAGATTTTGGGGTCACGAGGTCGTAGGGCTCATTATGTATGCAAAAAATGCTTGTGATCGCATTATCTCAAGAATCGATTGATGAATTGTCGCTAAACTTGGTTTATGTATGTATCTTGTAGAGCCAATGAACTGATTCGACTTGGGGGTTATGAGGTCACAGGTTAAAAATCATGGGGCTCAATATGTATGCAAAAATAGCTTGTGATCGCATTGTCATTAGAACTGATAGACAGATTACCATCAAACTCAAGACATGTATGTATCTTGCAGAGCCAATGAACTGATTAGATTTTAGGGTCATGGGCTCATTATGTATGCAAAAATAGCGTGTGAATGCATTCTCATTCGAACCAACATATGGATTACTATGAAACTCAGGACAAGTATATATCTTGCAGAGCCATGTATATGAAAAATAGCTTTTATATTTTGAGAACCTGTTAATGGATTACTCATCATCGATAGTGATCTGTCAGTTTATGACAGGTTCAGTGACCAATTCAAAATTCTATATCAAGTGTCTCTCCATCAAACTCCATCACTATCAAACTTGAATGTTAAAAAATTGCATGATTATAAATTATTCTTTTTATTAAAGGGATATTCAGACCTGCCAACCAGTACGATTTAGTCGTATTTCGTACGATTTTAAGAAGCAAATACGACAGTACGATTTCCCTCAATAAAATATGATTTTCAAAAAACAAAAACAAATTGTGTGTGTGCAATTTTCAATGGCAAAATGCCCATTCTGTCCTGTCAAGTATCCTACAAGCATCTCACATCAGCAATTTGGGGATGTTCATTGGTTCATCGAACACAACAGTCGTGACGAAATCATGCATATTCAACCAATGATCCATTAAAAAAATTCTTTCTGTATGTAGGAACTGTAAGAGGCATTGATTCATGTGACAGTTCGTATTTATTTTTAAGAAAACAACTTTTGTCAGTAAAATACAACTTTTAGGATTAAAGAATACAGTTTTTGGCAGGTCTGGATATTTAGAGCACATTAAGCTAGTAGAATGCAGTCTGTGCACAGTTGCACTGGGTCAAAACTCAACTCTAATATATTTTGTTGTGTGCAGTGTATTTAGAGTATCTACCGGTACTCATTACATAGCTGCTTAATTTCATTCTTTTGATGCAAACAATTATTTAGTGAATTTTCTTATCATCTGGAATTCCAATCATATTTTCATAAAAACTCAATACACATAATGTTTAAATCAAGAGAACCAAGAAAAGTTGATTCAAGAGAGACCAGCAGACAGGGCATTTCCATGCTTTTTAATACCTGTTTTTCCATGCATGATTATGTGATTTATATGCAATTTGAAAATGATCATTTTATTTAAGGGCGTGATGAACTTTTAGCCACATGTTATACATTATCAGTTGTTTTTTTAATGGAAATGAATTCGAAAAATGAAATAATTTCCTTGAATTCCTTCTTCTTTTGAAATAGAGACTAGGTACAGGGGATATCAACCTCGTTGACAGGAAACAATCCTCCTTTGAAGTGAAGCCACTCGAGTCGGAGGAAATCCAAAAGTTTCTCATATTCACCTTGGATCAAAAACCTATTTTGAATGAATTTACCTTGCCATACAATGGTACGTATTTGCTCTGTGTAATTCTTTGTGGATCTTAATTATCATCATTATTATCATCTTAAGCTGTTATTATTATCATCGTTGTTGTTATCGTTATTATTATCATCATCTTTAATATTATTATTATTACTCATGCCCGGGATTATCTGTATAACTAATTGGGATGTGCAGGTGTCAACCTGTACCTGGGTTTTCCATACCCTATTTAATACAGAAAAATAGAATATGGAACCCATATAGTATCTTAAAAAGAATGTGGGCATCTTTTAAAGACTATTGACCGGTAGGGAGGGCATGGCTAAAAACATAACTACAATTTCGACCAATCAGATGGCTAGATTTCTAAAGAGAGGTATATAACATCAGATATATTTCTTTTCCTATGCTTTGTACTACAATTAATAATATTCAGAAGAATATTCTGGGTATATATACTACTTAATACATCTATGATGTCTCTAAGTGCATTACAGAAATATTGTTAGCCTTGTCATCGAATCTGAACTTTAAGACCAGCCTAAACTATCTGATTACCGTAAACATTTGTATATTGTGCTTTCCTGACATAAACCATATTGGACTTGGCTTTTTATGAATTTATAATCTTTCATCTTTTCATCTTTTCTCTTTCTTTGAAATAAAGACATGGAAACAACAAGAACAACAGCAGAAGCACAAGCAGCATGGGTGTCAACGCTATCACAGTATGTTACTAATCTATAATTATTTTAAAGAGAAGGCTGTGTTTTAGTAAAAAAGAAAAAAGAAAATTATGAGCTTTCTCAGGAAGAATATCCTAGCAGAAATCAAGTCTGAATGGACTTGTTCTTCAAATTCCATATTTTTTGTAATATTACAACAACAGAAAGTTTGGACCAAATATTTATGTCTAGTGCATGTGTTGCTCAGCAAGAATTAGTCCATCTCTTGATTTTAATCATTCCAAAACCTCACAATAATCATTGATTTGTATGTATACAAATAATACATGTTTGCAAGTGCATTAGTGAAAATGCACTGCACGCAGGTTAAGTCACAGTAGAATAATAAATGAGACTTGTCGAGTTCATTGCCAGTATCATTGTGACTTAACCAAGTGCAGTGCAAATCACTAATGTACGAGCTAAAAACATGTATTATTTGTTTTATACTAAGATGGGTCTACATTATGAATATAAATGCGAGAAATTAATGGTTTTTATCACCAAAATGCACTCCCTGTGCATATGATAAAAATTAATGCACGCACACGTGATCCATTTCGACACTTCTCATTGGCTACCTTCTTGAACCCATTTCATAATGTCAAATAAGCAGCTTTTCCCAAGTGCTTCTTGGGTTTTTATGCCTTCGCAACAAAGTAGTCGGAGGCATTATGTTTTCGGATTGTTCCTCCGTCCGTATACATGTACATATGTCCCGTTCTTGTGATCAGGTTATCTGAAGAACCGATTGATGGATTCCCGCCAAACATGGGTCATGTATGTTTCTTGCAGAGCCAATGAACTGATTGTATTTTGGGGTCACGAGGTAAATTTCAAAGGTCATGGGGCTCATTATGTATCCAAAATTAGCTGTTGATACCATTATCATTAGAATGGTAGAACCGATAGACGGATTACCATCAAACTCAAAACCTGTTAATGGATTAATACAATCAAACTAATTTTAAAACTTGTTTCTGTTTTGGTTTGTAAAATCACTCTATGGCAGAGTCTTCATTTTTGACTGTTTGCAGTCGAATATCCATCTAGTTTCACAATGTAATATCAAGATCAGTGCTAAACTATATATGTTATGAACAATAGGATTTTTGTTTTTTCTCTCTTTTTAAAATTCGTTTTAGTTTGTTAATCATAGGGAGGGATTTCTCTTGTTATCATGATGGCAGAGTTATTTAAGTTATCAACATTTCCAAAAGTGATCCCCAAATTTCCAATGAGAGTTATAAAAAGGTGTAATAAGCAAGATATTTCTCCAAAAATGTCACCCCCCCCCCTCTCATGATGTTAGCAAACATGTGAATGAGTATGTTCCTGTGTTCGTGAAAGTAGGCTACTTTGTGTAAGTAATAAGCAAACAAATAGTATTACATTTAGAGACATTTTTGTAACCGTTTTTTTTTTTTTTTCTAAAGGGGCATATTTTGTTGAAAATTTCTGTGAAATTATTATGTAAAATAGGGGGTTATTCTTTTACTCCTTGTTACTTGTTGCAGTAATTCCAAATAGCAGCTCACTGATTATATTGATAATAACAACTTATTATAATGATATTAATAACAATAATAATGATGATAATAATAATAAAAATAATGATAATAATAATAATGATAACAATGGATTTTAGTCTAGCACTCGTTTCTGTCAAACTTAACACTAGTGGCACTCCACACTTACACCCAAAAATATAAAGTCACAGTGACACCATCAGGTTGCAAAGATTGTATTAATCGTTCTTTCATTCCTCAGGAATGATCTGGAATCAGATGTACACTATCCAAGAAGGACGTTACCACCATCAGACTACCCTCAACAGCATGTTGACAATACATCAGATACTGTATGTGAAGGTAGCAGCAGTCAGAGCAAGCCTTGTAAGAGGAAAGCTCCTTCTACTCAGTCAAGAGTTCCACAGGATGATCTTGAAATTCCAGAGAAGCGATCAAAGTATGAAGTCTAGTTGCTATGGTATCGGTAGAGTAAGACAGTGTCGCACTGATAACACCATCTTGACATTGTGTATGCATGATGCAGGGCTCCACACTAACTTGTTTATGCCTCCGTTACGAAGAAGCCGGAGGCATTATGTTTTCGGGTTGTCCGTACGTACGTCCCGTTCTCGTGATCGCGTTATCTCAAGAACTGACTGATGGATTCCTACCAAACTTTGGTCATGTTCGTAACTTGCAGAGCCAATGAATTTATTAGATTTTGGGATCACAAGGTCAAAGGTCAATGGCCACATGGCTCATTATGTATGCAAAAATAGCTTGTGATCACATCTTTAGAACAGATGGACAGATTACCATGATATTTATATATCAGGACATGTATTTATCTTGCTGAGGCAATGAACTGATTAGATTTTGGGGTCATGAGGTCAAGGTCAAAGGTCATGGGGCTCATGTATGCAAAAATAGCTTGTGATTGCATTATCATTAGAACCGATGGATGGATTACCATCAAACTCAAGGCATGTATGTATCTTGCATTTGGGGTCATGAGATCAAAGATCAAAGGGTCATACATGTATATGAGAAATAGCTTGTAATCACGATATTCTGAGAACCTGTGAATGGATTACAACCGAACTTGAATTTGAAAAATTTCTTCCGTATTGGTTTGTAAAATTGCTCTATGACGGAGGCATCACTTTCGACTGCGTGCAGTCGAAGTTCCATCTAGTTTTTAAATGGTACAGATTGAACTTTTTACAGTCTGTATGCATAAACCAGGAGTTAAAACTTCAAAATTCAAGGGTCCAGGCTTAGAATCTGGGTTCCATCTCACAAAAAGTTTTGATTGATATCAACTCTTTGTAATACGGGGCCCTGGACTGATTTTGGTGTAAGGGGGGCACTTTTCGGCGATGTTTGTCAATCAATGTTTATATATTTGTAAAAAGGCTGTTTTCTTCTTTTTCACCTTCACGAGTACCATCCACTATCTGTTAGTTTATAAATTTCATGAGAAAGGGATCATAATATTGTCACAATGTTTGAAAACTTGTGAAAGGTCTATGTAGAAAGTGTTGGAAAAATAGGATAGGTTTTATGAATATGTATTCAATAATCCCAAAACAGAGTACAGTAGTATTAAGAGCCCATTGTTTACTTGTTTTAGGCAACAAGGGATCACACAATTTTGTATGAAAAATTAAGGAAATTGTGTTTTTCTCTCTTTTAAAAAGAGTTGTTATGGCAGAGTTATTTAAGTTATCAACGTGGCCAAAAGTGATCCCCAAATTTCTAATGAGAGTTAGAAAAAAGGGTAATGAGGGTATGTTTTTTTGTGAAAAGTTCACAATGTGCCCCCTCCCATATTTAGCAAACATGTGAATGAGTATGTACCTGTGTTCATGAAAGTAGGCTACTTTGTGTGGGTTCTAGGACAATCAACCCCTCCCCCCCCCCCCTCCCGAGGAAAATTACCCCCTTGGATTATCACCCCTCTGAAAAAATATTCTGCTTTTATTAAAACCAACTTATTCTCATTAGGGTACGTCCCCTTTAATGAACAGGGGGTGGGGTGAAATTGTCCTCTGGTGGTTGTCCTTGGTTGTCCTAGGGGTATTTTCAGGGTTGGGGGGGGGGGGGTAATTTAGCGAAGGGTTATTGTCCTGGGGGGGGGGTAGTTTTCTGGGGGTAATTGTCCTAATCCCCCCCCCCCCCCATGATGTTAGCAAACATGTGAATTAGAATGTACCTGTGTTCATGAAAGTAGGCTACATTGTGTGAATGTGTGCTCGATAAGCAAAAAATAGAGGCCTTGTTGTACCCATTTCTATTTTTTAAAAGGGGGCATAATTTGTAAAAAAATTTTGGTGTAACTTTATGTAAAATTATGTGTTATTTTTTACTCCACTATAACAATCATGGATTAATAATAATAATAATGATAATAATGATAATAATAATAGTAATAATATTATTGATAATGACTATATGGTAATAATATTAATAATATCTAATGATTTTGATGATAAATTATGATCATGATATTAATAATAATAATAATGCTAATGACAATAATGATAACAGATGATTTTAGAGTAGCACTCATGTCTGTCAAATTTGACACTCAAGGCGCTCCACACTTACACTCATAAATATAAAGGGACATCACCAGGTTGCAAAGATTGTATTAATCCTTTCATTCCTCAGGATTGATCTGGTATCAGATGGAATACTTGACAAACTATCGAGACACATGCCTCCTGGGACTTACACAACGCTATGCACCCAACTTGGCATTGAATATAACGAAGCCAGAAGCATCCTACTGGGGTTTAACAATAACTACCAGATGGCTACGAGGGATTGCTTGGCACAGTGGAAGACAAGGACAGGTGGTAATATGGCCCAGCTTAAGGCCATCCTTGTGGATGCAGAGGTTGGAGATTTAGTGAAGTATATAGAATAATCATGCGAAGCTTCCGACTGGGGCAATATGACCGGTAAACGTGACACTCAGCGTGTCCACACACAAAACAATTTATCCCGAAACTCTATAACGAAACGTCGTATAAAGAATCGTTGTATAAATTTCAGGGTGTCCACACACAAGAAACGTCATATAAAGAATCATCGTATAAATTCCAGGATGTCCACACACAGAAGAAAGTAATCCTAAAACTCTACAGCGAAATGTCGTATAGGTGCGCAATTTGCTACCGCGATCATGAAATGGAAGCGGAAATGAGAGGTCAGGTCTCCTTTCGCTCGAGGTCACGTTAAGCCCCGCCCAGTTATACCGTTCTAGTTCGACTAGTTTTACTAGTTACGTCCACACACAACACATTCCGTGATTAGGCGTGATTCTTTATACATCGTATAACGAAACGCATGTTTGGGCATCGTTTCGTTATACGACGTATCGTTAGTAAGCGTCCACACACACTATTTCATTGTATAACTATCCCAAAACGGTATAACTATCCCGATACGGTATAACTAATCACGCCTAATCACAGAAAAATGTGTGTTTGGACACGGGGACTGTGTTAAGGCTTTTGTTCAAAATCGCAGGTTTAACAAAGAAACCGTGAAATGACACCTGGCTGAATTTCTCCCTAGAGAGTGGAGAATGTTGATACATTGTGTGCAGGAAAGCCTAAGATTGATGACCAGAGTAATGACATTTCTGTAAAGCACTTAGAGACACTATAGATGTTTCAATCGCTATATAAATATAGAATATTAGTATTAGTATTATTTAACAAGGTTTGAGGTCTAAATATTTTTTTTTAGATCCAGGGTCAGGTTTATAACTGTATTAGTAGAATACAGAATTTTGGTATTAGCGAAATTTGTTGTCCTTCACAAGAAGCCTGGAACACATATCATTATAAATAGTTGACTTTAATTGAAGGATATTTCCTTGTGAGGCTGACAGATAAGATATATTACGATTATTCCGTTTTACTAAATTTGGACATGCCTTAAGCATATTATTGTTAGCAATAAAATACCATAATTTCAAACATACATGTATGTGCTTATTATTTAAATATGCTATAATATTTGGTTGAAAATGAAAGAAGCCCCAGTATGCAATATTGACTATGAGATTGTTTTTGTATTGTAATTGTTATTTTATTAAGTATTTACATTACCAAGCTGTACTTAATTGTATGCATTCTGTTCAGGTTCAAGTTGAGGAAATATACACAGTTACATGGCCCCCAAAAGTTTACATGCACCTGGAAGAAACTCATTTTTCTCACATCTTCTCAACTGCACCCATTCTTATCAGGAGTCACTCATCTCAGAGTGATTAGTGATGTACTATATATATTAAACAGAGACCAAATTTGTCTATCTTCCTGAAGTGAAATTGTGATAATGTATACCAGGCCCAACTGGACATGTATGTACAATTCAGGGATGATTCCAGTACTTGATAATGTTTGTTTTTTCTTTGTCTTCTTCTATTTCAACTATCAGTAGATGTGTACCAAGTTCTGTGTGCCATATGCTTTGTATATGCTATAAACAGAGATGAAATTTGTCTAATTTCCTGAAGCGAAAAGTTGGCAGGAATGAGTGAAGTCAGTTATATCTGGCCCAACTCCATGTATGTACATCTAAAATTCAGGGATTTTTTCAGTACTTGATGTTTTTGTTTTTTCTTCATCTTCTTCCATTTTTAACTATCAGTAGATGTGTACCAAATGTTGTGTGCCTTATGCTTTGTATATACTATAAACAGAAATAGAATTTGTCTATCTTCCTGAAGATAAAAGTTGACAGGAATGAGTGATATTTATAATTAATTCAGGGATTATTCCAATACTTAATAGGGTTGTTGTTGTTTTTCTTCTTCCATTCATTTTAACTATCGGGCCTCTGATTAGATGTGTACCAAGTTTTGTGTACCTTATGCTCAAGGCCTTATCTTTTGATCTTATAGTTTTCAAGTTTACAACCTTGTACATATGATATGCAAAGAATACCAAATTAACTGAAATTGAAATTTCATTACATCTGAAATATGTTCATACCAATCATGTTTGTGCTTACCATGTTTATGTGTACGGAGTATGTGCCAAAGATTAAAGTATTTCTTGTATTTCTTATTCTGAATCTGAATTTAGTATTTATTAATAAGGTTTGAATCCTGAGGGAGAGTGGGTGGGAGGAAGGGGAGGACGGGAGAGGGAGAGATTAGAGTGGAAGATAGAGGGAGGGAAGAGAGTGAGGGGGAGGAAGGGAGAGAGAGAGATGAGGTGCATGAGAGTGGGAGATAGAGGGAGGGAAGAGAGTGAGGGGAGGATCAAGGGACTGGGAAGGGAGAGAGAGAGAGATGATGTGCATGAGAGTGGAAGATAGAGGGAAGGAAGAGAGTGAGGGTGAGGATCAAGGGAGGAAGGGAGAGAGAGAGATGAGGTGCATGAGAGTGGAAGATAGAGGGAGGGAAGAGAGTGAGGGGATGATCAAGGGAGGAAGGGAGAGAGAGAGATGAGGTGCATGAGAGTGGGAGACAGAGGGAGGGAAGAGAGTGAGGGGGAGGATCAAGGGAGGAAGGGATAGAGAGAGAGATGAGGTGCATGAGAGTGGAAGATAGAGGGAAGGAAGAGAGTGAGGGGAGGATCAAGGGAGGAAGGGAGAGAGAGAGATGAGGTGCATGAGAGTGGGAGATAGAGGGAGGGAAGAGAGTGAGGGGGAGGATCAAGGGAGGAAGGGAGAGAGAGAGATGAGGTGCATGAGAGTGGGATGATAGAGGGAGGGAAGAGAGTGAGGGGAGGATCAAGGGACTGGGAAGGGAGAGAGAGAGATGAGAGTGGGAGATAGAGGGAGGGAAGAGAGTGAGGGGGAGGATCAAGGGAGGAAGGGAGAGAGAGAGATTAGGTGCATGAGAGTGGGAGATAGAGGGAGGGAAGAGAGTGAGGGGGAGGAAGGGAGAGAGAGAGAGAGAGATGATGTGCATGAAAGTGGGAGATAGAGGGAGGGAAGAGAGTGAGGGGGAGGATCAAGGGAGGAAGGGAGAGAGAGAGATTAGGTGCATGAGAGTGGGAGATAGAGGGAGGGAAGAGGGTGTAGGGAAAGAGATAGAGGGGGTATCAATTTACAGTGAATGAGAGAAGAAAGGGGAGGTTTAGAGCATATGATACGAGAGGTGGAGATGTAGAGATTAGAGATGGATAGCCAGTGTAAATATCATATCCTTAATACAGGAGTTACATACTAGTTATACTTAGGGGGCATAAAATGACAATAGTTACAACCAGGTTATGTGTTCTAAGAGAGCGCTATAAAAGCTCTTCATTTTATACTACATGTATTTTCACTGTTACAAGTCTACCACAAGGTGGCGCTATTTTACTGTTGACTTCAGGATACATTGACTCATCTCATTACAGCCAGTATGTACCAGTAAGAGGGAGGAAGGAGAGAAAGAGGGGAGGCTGTAGAGATGTTGAAGTAGATAGCTAAATGGACAATGGGACAAGCTTGAAAGATAGATTTAGAGCATAAGAGAGGTAGAAATATAGCTCAAGATGGATAGAGATGGATAGCGAAACAGGGAAAGAAAAATGAGAAACAGGGAGAGAAAGGAGGAGTATGTCAGAGGGTTTTTTTTTTGGGGGGGGGGTGGGGGTTGGTACATTCAATGGTAGTGAAGTGGAAGATATGGCACAGGAAAGAGCGAGCAGTTTCTTTATGACGTTGAGTGTAATACAACAGAGATCAGTGCGTGTTTAGCGGGGCATTGCGTGTTGGGGGTCAAATCATTGTATTACGTCGTCGTCGGGCTGGTGTGTGTATACTATAGATTGAAGTATTTTGTCTCATACACTCGAAATTCTCTTCAAATCTTCAAATGCAAATCTAGATTTAATGAAATTGTGGTTCAGAGGCATCAGAGCGAATGTTTTCTAACAGTGTCACGAAATTTGTTTTTATAAACGTATCGTCACCGTTTTCACGAAGTGGTCTCGTGGCCAAAATCGTTGAAATTTTCAATTTCGAGTTTTGACCGTTTTTGAGCAATGTATATAAATGTCTACAACTTCAGTAATTTTCAAAGTCTAATCTTGCTTAATTACGTCATACGTGACGTCACGAAACGTATCACAAGCGGTACAACTGGCAAACACCGTTTTCACGAAGTGCGCTCTTACGCGCAAATGTAGTCTGCTATTGATAATCGTACACGAACCGGCTTCGCGAAGCCTTTGTGAAGTTTGTCACAGATGCCGGTGCTTCTGGCGGAATTGTTAGAGGAATCTGACAGCCCTAGGTAATTATTTCACTTATTTTAAAACAATGTTATGCATCGTTCAATAATATCGTCTGTAGCAGTATAAACAAACTCATATTCTGAACGGATATCAAGTTACGAAATGGCGAGATAGGTCATTACGGTCCCACGCACTGTTTTCTGCGTGAGTTGTATTGTCGGTCTACTAGTATGCAGATCTAGTAGTACGTAGTACTCGCCTACTACTACTAGTACTATCAACAGAGTGCTACTAAGTATTAAGTAACACAGTATCTTAGATAAGCTTGAACATGTATAAGTGCAGGAGCAGTTACATGCAGTAACAACAATGTCACGAGTCAAAAGGCGAATTCGCTGAAGAGTGAAGCCCAGGCCAGGAGATCTCATTAATAATAATTTTACATTAACTATGTTAACTGATTAAGCAGTACCAGCCCAAGCCTCCAAGGCAAGGCCCAATTAGCCAAGGGCACATTTTTGTTAAAATTCAATGTCATGATATGACAATGCCAAATCATAAAATGGCAATTGCGACGTAGGAGTTGAGTCTAGGCTCGAGCGCGAGCCTAGAGTCTAGATCTAGAACTACGTTAGTACTTAGTACTCCTAGTACTAGATTTAAATATTAAATGACCCCCTCGTAAGCTCTTTCCATGTTCATGTTATAAATACGAGACTGAGACTTGAATAGTAAAGCCAGGTATGCTTGAATGAATAAACAATTTTGTGCTTGCTAATTATTTAAAGGGAAATCCAACCATGAGAATTGAGATGAAGTGGCTTAATTTCAGCAAATGCAGAAAAATGAAGCAAATACAT